AGGGATAAAGTAAGTAAATGTATTTTTAATATTCCCCTAGACAGAAACAAGCATTTAAACTGTGCAGCATGGGAGAATCCTCACTACAAGGATAGTTCAGATTTAGGATTTGTCTATGTTGGCTCTTTTTGTTGATCATCATATATCTTACAACTAAAGGCTCTTGTATGACAGCAAAAAAAATCCCAAATCAAGTTAATAAGTGATGTAGAAACCTCAAAAATGAAACAAAAATTTTTATTTGCCTTCCCAGACTGGGGTAAATATTTAATTTGTGTCTCAAAAGTTCCCCCTTCCAGACACTGCAGCTCACAGTGGGAGGTTCCCAAAAACAGAGGCAGTGCTGTTGATCCAGAAATCAGGGAGCAGGACTAGGTGTGGCCAGGTGCTGACTGACAAGCTACAGGCTTTGGAATCAGCAGTGAAAATGCTCATAGTCAAGCCCCCTGCAATATCTTCTCATCCCACTGTAGTGAGTGGTGACTCTGCTCTGATTTCTGAGTGAAGCACTGTTGCCATCACAGAAAGCTGAACAAAATGGACTTCATTAACAGAATCGACAGGTATTTTTGGGACTTTGCATGGGGACTAAGAGAAAACTGTCAGTGCGGATGTGTTTATATATAAGTGCTGCAGCACTTATTTTCTTTAACCACTTGCCCTCCAGAGGATTTACCCCCTTCTTGACCAGGTTATTTTTTGCTGTTCGGCACTGCGCTATTTCAACTGGTAATTGCACGGTCCTGCAATGCTGTACCCAAACTAAATGTATGTCCTTTTTTTCCACATAAATCAAGCTTTCTTTTGGTGGTATTTGATCACCACTGCAGTTTTTATTTTTTGCACTATAAACAAAAAAAGAACGAAAATTTTGCAAAAAAAAAAAAAAAACACAATATTTTTCACTTTTGGTTATAAAAAATATCCAATAAACTGAAAGTTAGTCATACATTTAGGCTGAAATGTATTCTGCTACATGTCTTTGGTTAAAAAAAAATCTCAATACATGTATAATTGGTTTGTATGAAAGTTATAGCATCTACAAACTATGGTATATATATTGGAATTTATGTAGCTTTTACTTTCTGACTGCCTATCACATTTTGTGAGGGTGCTAAAATGCCAGGGCAGTACAAACCTCCCCCCAAATGACCCCTTTTTGGAAAGTAGACACCCCGAGGATTTTTCAGAGAGACATGTTGAGTCCATGGAACATTTTATTTTTTGCCACAAATTTTATGAATATGATCATTTTTTTTTTTTACACATTCTCCTACTTCTTTCAAGTATGGGGATACCACATGTGAGACTTTTTTGGCAGCCTAGCTACATACAAGCCCCCAAAATCCAATGACCACCTCCAGGCTTTCAAAGGGCATATTTCCTCATTTCAATTCCCCACTACCTATCACAGTTTCAGAGGTGCTAAAGTACAAGGGCAGTACAACCCCCCCCCCCCCCCGAAATGACCCCTTTTTGGAAAGCAGACACCCCAAGGAATTTGATAAGAGGCTAGGTCAGTATTTTACAGACATAATTTTTGTCACAGGGTTTTGAAAAAGAAAAAAAGAAAGAAAAATAAATTTTCCAAAAATATGTGGCAACAAATGAGATCTGAAAAACACTCATCATGCCTCTTAGCAAATACCTTGGAGTGTCTACTTTCCAAAAAAGTAATTTGGGGGGGGTACTTCTACTATCCTGGCATTTCTGAACCAACATTGGAAGCTTATGCCACACATCACCCACTCTTGAAGACCAAGCCTTTTGTGAAACTTTTTGTTCACATGAAAAAACATTTTTTTTGCTAGAAAATTACTTTGAACCCCCAAACATTATTTTTTTTTTTAAAGCAGATGCCCTAGAGAATAAAATGGTGGGTGTAGACATTTTTTACATCACACAGTATTTGCATGGCGATTTTTCAAATGCAAATTTACACTTTTTTACTCTTAATTCACAAAAACACAATATATTGGCCAATTATTTAGTAAAATATGATGGCATGCTGAGTAAATAGATACCAAACATGACATGCTTTAAAACTTGTGCATGCCCCGTGCAATGGTGACAAACATTTTTTATATCCATAGGCAACACTTTAAAAGTCTTTACAAGCTACCATTTTAGATTTACAGAGGAGGTCTAGTGCTAGAATTACTGCCCTTGATCTGACGGTCGCGGCGCGATGCCTCACATTCATGATAAACCGCTGTTTTACATACTGGCATAGGGTCAGCGCTCATGCACGCAGGTGCACGCACAGGGTTCGAGGGTGTATTTTTTAATTATTATTTTGATTTTTTTAAAAATTATTTTTATGCTGTCCCTTTCATTTTTTTTTTTGATCACTTTTAATGCTATCACAGGGAATGCAAATATCCCCTATAACTTTAATGGGCATTGTCATGTATCCAACTCTAGATATCTCTTCTGCCCTTACATTATCTAATTCTCACCAAGATCGGTGTGATCAGATGCTTTTCCAATTTACAAATGGCGCTGTTTATATACTGAGAAATTGAAGTGATGAAATGCTCGTAGCTTCTGATTTCGTAGACTATAGAGCTGATTGGAGCCATTCTGGTCTCTGACCAGCATTATGGTCAGCCAGTGGAACTGCTGGATGCATTCTCAAATTCCCCTGTGGGACAGGAGACCCCAAGAAAACTGTGGAAAGCAGCAGGAGGGGGGGGGGATGTCCCTTCCCACTGCTCCTAAAAACAATTCAGCAGCTAATTGGCCACTAGGATTGCTTTTACAAAACTATAGCAGGATGATGCCTGTAGCTGCAGGCATCATCCCGGTATAACCACTCAAAGTCCAGCGACGTATCAGTACATTGCTGGTCCATGTTGGGCATATATGTAACAGCAGAGAACACGGATGTATGATGAATTGGCTCTGTGGATCAACATGACCGCAATTCATTCTTTTTTGTATTGCCCATGTTTGGGTTAGGTGCAAAAGAGTTTTAAATTCATAAACCATGATAGGTTTCCATGCAAATTGTCTGGCAAGAGCTGAATTTGGGTGGGTGGCGATGTATTGTTTTGCATATAAATTGCCTTGGCCCACAACCAATTGAAAAACAGCAGAGGGGCTAAACGCTAGTGCTGGCAGCGAACAGGGCTGATCCTGCTAACTCTGCATTTTTGGGGACACTATACAAAGGAGGCACTAGTATAGTTCTGTATGTGATCAATATCTTGATCCGTACAAACACTATACTAATAATGGTGGTGATCAGCGACCTATAGCATTAGTGCAATAGTGTGCAGGCAATCTAACACTAGCTGACCCTGGGTGGGAGGGGCGCTGACTGACCCTAATGCTATCTGCTAGTGGCAGTAATACAGTGATCAGTGAAAAATTCTATATACTAACACTGTACTAATGGCATTGGCTGGGTGACGGGGTGATCAAAGGGTTAATAGGGGAGATCAAAGAGTTAAATGTGCCAATCCAATCTAATGTGTGTGTGTGTTTATCAGTAGATGTCTGGTGAGTGTACATCTGACAGACGTGGTGGATTCCCTATTGGATCACTTTACAATATTTGACCGTGATTTCCGTACTTCTATCCTTATGGACAATTTATAGCTCTTACTCCACTGATATTTTATGGACTTTATATATTCTCACTTTTATGCTGCACTTTACTGTTTCACATTTATTGAATGATTTATTGAACATTTATTATATTTGACTTATATGCTGAACTTGACTGTTCCGCTGATCTTAGATTGACTTTGCACTTTATTTTCACTATATTATCTTTCACTTATTTTAGCGCTGCACTTTCTATATATTTTAACTTATCCCTTCTGACTGAGCACCTTTACAATGTGCTTCTGGTAGTTGTCTACTTTTATGAATGTATAATATACAATTATACAAGGAAAAAAATCTTACTTTATGACACGCAGTGGAAGAATTACTAAAACTGGTGCTCTGAGAATCTGGTTCAACTGTGCATGGTGATCAATCAGGTTCTACCTTCAGCTCATTCAATTAAGCTTGGACAATAAACCCTGGAAGCTGATTGGTTACTATGCACAGCTACACCAGATTCTGCATGCACCAATTTCAGTAAATCTCCACCATACTCTAGTTGCAGGGATAGCTGCATCTTTTTAATGGAAAGGGGTCATTGTGTTCAACTTACTGGATAACAGCCTTATAGTTACTAACTGTGCCATAACAGTTACAAATAACTACAAAATGCAATACTTGTTGCTGCTTTGTTCCAGGAATATGCTAGATGTGTATGGTCTACACAAATTTTAGGACATATTTAAGAAGTCAGAAAATGTCACATAATGTGTATATTATCGTATATAGAAGGCATGTCTTCAGAAGGGCTCCAGGCAGGGGCGGACTACTTATTTGGAAACTCAGGCACTGCCTGAGGGCCCAGGGTCAGTAGGGGGCCCCATGAGATGCCCCTGGTACCTTTTTCATATGCTTTTTTGAGTTTGGGCAAGGACACAGGGGCCCCATGATCCCCTATTGCCCGGGGGACCCAAGAGTTGTCAGTCTGCCCCTGGCTCCAGGATGAAAGAAGAAGGGTGAGTGAAGGGTAAAAATAAAGGTATGACCCTAAACCCTGTCTGCTCTTTGCTGATCCAGCAGCAGAACGGCAGAACAAATCACATGTCGCATTACAATTCAGGTAACACACTGTTATCTCTCCTTTCACTCTAAGCTCCAAAGTGATCTGTATTACAGTGTTGTTCAGTTCAAATTAGGTCTGCATATGGTACATTGCCTCCAGTGAGAACAAGACTAATTCAATATGTATCCAGTCAAAGAACATTTCTTCTTGTTTGATACAGGCCATTCAGAATGCTTCACAGAACCTATGATACTCCTGTTCCTTTGACTGCCATTATCATTATTATTCTTGTTCATGTTTGGTTTTGATTAAAACTGAAATATTTGCATTACATATGTAGTCACAGTGGATTCATTGCACCATTTACACATGCACTATTTACCTGAAGTCCTTCTCTTACGGCTTCCAGGAGATAAGGAATTACAGAATAGTTCCAAAGATCTGTAAACCATATTTTAGACCCATCCACATCCATTGGACATGAAAGGAAAAGGCGCGGACGCTATCAAACACAAAAGAAATATTTAAACTGAGTGGTTTTTAACTATTTGATATCTGCACCCTGTTATTTATTTAAAGCCACGTGTGTATTTTAATTATTCCTAACATATTTACAGCATATATGTGACCACCACAGTCAAGATGTAACAGTTTTCAAGGTGTTAAAACAGAACTATGGTCACAGAACTGAAAGGACACAATACCAGAAGGAAAACTGCTTAATTCAAAGAACTCCCAGAAAAACATTTATTTTCCTATGCAGCGGGGCTGTGTCTGCACCGCATGGGTTAACTGCTTGTTTTTGTCTAAGGGTGAGGAGAGCGGTGATATACTTACCTACTAATCCACTGATCCTCCAAACGCAAGATCAGTCCCCGTCACTCCTGCACCCCCAGCACACTAGTGGTCTTGCGAATGGACTGTTCCTGGTGTCATCATGCCCATAGACCTGCTCTCAATGTGAAGACGGCAGAAACAGTCCACCGCTGGATGTGGGAGAGCACTGTTTTCCGGAGGATAAAAGGATCAGGTAAGTATAACTTTTCCTTGCACCCCTAGACAAAAGAAGCAGTTAACCCATGCAGTGCGGGCACAGCCCCACTGCATGGGAAAATAACAATGTTCTGCTTTAAAATTGGATTGGAATTTTCTTGTTGTTTAAGTATAACTAGTGACCATGCCAGTGCCTGGGTGACAATGTACATTTCCCTGCGGTAAAATCACTTCAGTGAGGTACCTTTACACACATTTAGGAGGAGGGTTCTTGGCATTGTCATGGCTGAGAACATTCCTTCTCAATGGCAGTCAGTGCTGGCTATGACTAATGTCTCTTCCAGCCATTGTCATGTCAGCAAGTTGCTGTCTGCATTGTCTAGAGCCATATAAATAAAGAAAGGAGCGCCAGGCCAAAATCAGATAAAGTGTACAAGACTATTTTAATTGTTCAAAAAAAGTCATATAAAACAGCCAACGTGCTTTGGTGCAACACTCCCCATTCATCAGGGCTACAGGAATAAGCAAAAAACATAATCATGCATACAGTATATACCACAAAATCTTGAACATTGGCTGGGAGCAGAGTGGTCATGGCTGTATATCAGAACAGCAGGGCACCCTAACTCTGAGGAAAGTGATTGTTGCAGAGCATTGTTTTCGATCCCTCTCCCTGACTCCGGTGATTAAAAGAACCCTGCAGGCCTTCTGATGATGTCACATGGGTTACAAAGAGGGTTTTCAGCATCCTGCACCATGTAAGTTAAAAAAAAAAAAAAACAACTACAGGCATCAAAGGGGGCATGGGGAGAACATTATTAAAAAAAATAGCTATAGACTTACTTTAAGTAATAGTACATTTGAGCATTTTGTTACAGTTTGATACCATGTGACAGTTTTTCTTAAGCTATAAAGGAGCATTGCACAGAATGTTTTAGCAGCTTTTGTAATTCATACATCTTTATTTCACTAATCAAGCATAAAGACCTGAGCCCACCAGCTGGGTTTGCCATGCATATTGCTGTGCTGTGTACGGGTATGGACATGAGAAACATCACTATTTCCAATGGTGCCAATTCCAACCAACACATTACAAAACGATGGTTGAAAAAATTCTTGCATGCTGCATCTACAGCTGCTTGTGTCATTAAACAAACATTTTATTTAAAAAGTCTTGGATTAATGTCAAACAGTCTAGTCATTTACTAGATGCTATATTCATTACTCTAAAAAAGAAGAAAGGCACTACTCATATCAATAGTGAAGTGATCACTACCTACATAAATAATAAACACATATCATTCAATAACACCATAGTGTCAAATCAACTCATATAGTGTCCATAAAAAGAGTGTCGAAATCATAAAGTGTCCATGAAAGACTCACATATTTCAGTGCCAAACACCACCTCCAGAAGGTAGAAACAGATGCTCCGCACCGCCGCTCACTCAACCTGAGCCGGCGCGCGTTCCATGACTCTAACCCATCACGGGAAGTGAATACAAATGGCTGGGGCATCAATGCATTTTGAAAAAAGTGCATCATCAAGAAGCTTCAGAAATATCTGAGCGCAATAATATAGATTTTTTTCTACTCTTATTGATTTTAATAAACTTGCTACACTGTAGAACATCTCTCTTGTTTGAGTGTTTGTACTGTTTCATTCTGATTGCAAAAGTCTACTGCGTGGAAGACTGTGAAGACTTGGGTTGAGTCAGTCATAATGATATAGCTGTTTATGAGTTGCCTTTTAATATTCTATATCTGGTGAGTTATTACTCTCACTGCATGCGGTGGAATGTGCACAAGTGGATCTTTTTTTTTTGGAAACTGGGTGTGGAAGACTAATTCTTTATGGAATTATTATATGGACTTTTCTTTTATGGACACTTTATAATTTGATTTGACACTCTTTTATGGACACCTATAACTTGATTTGACACTGTGATGTTATTGAATGATATGTGTTTTTCTTATTTATATAGGTAGTAATCACTTCCATATTGATTTGAGTTAGCACCTTTCTTGTTTTTTAGAGTAATGATTATAGTGCCTTTTCAGTTTTAAAGGCAGATTCTCTTTATTTATGGAATTGAAGTGGTGGTGGCACCCCCACTTTTTTGTTTTTATTAACCAGATGCTGCATGCTTGGTACATACTGCATACAAGGGCCAAGTACTTCATATGATGTAAACATTTTTAGCTAAAATTAATAAAAATCTCAAGTTAAGTTACTTTTAGTTACAGTGGCATACCAGAAATTACTAGTCATTTTTGATAACTCTCCCAGTTTCTAAAAATGTTCTAAAATAGCAAATACATTTTAGTGTGAAGGGTTTTTAAGTTAACCTTTAAACTGAGTCCTCAAAATTTCTAAATAAAAGTGATATCTACAGATCTCTTGATGGCATCCTTCATGTCCAGCCAAGGACTGAAATATTTTAACACAAGACAAATAGTTCTGCTAGTTAACATTCAGGGCTGAAAATGTGTGACTCACATCTGACACCATCTGATAATGCTCTAAAGAACAACTCTTTTTTAAAATATAAAATGCATAGTCCTGTATATTAGAGTTTATAAAAACTCACAAGGGCAAATTTCTAAAAAGTCAAAGCCTGGTGACTTGCAGCAAAGAAAGATCACATTACTCAAAGCTTGAAATTGATTTTTTTTGACTGGACGATTAAAGCAGTAGATCAGTGTGGAGCAGTAGACGTGGCTTATCTAGATTTTAGCAGTCTTCCATGCGTCTCGCATAAAGAATTGAACAAGTTCCAATGTTTTGGATTGTACAGTGGTTGATCAGATAAAGAGAGATAAGACAAAGGGATAGAAAATACTACAAAAAGCATAGTGCAGGGAACTTACCATCCAAAAGAATGCACAATTATATTATACACTGTACAGTGAAGGTTTGTTTGTAATGCAGTTTGTAAAACGTATCACTTTTAAATGAATATTTACAGGGTAACTCCACTTTCGTGGGAAAAAATAGCAAATAGAAAAAATAGCATTAACAATTGCTATACAAGTCATATTGTAATTGAATGTTACCTTTCCTTTTCAATTGCAGCATTGTAATTTTCTGTAAAATACAATGCAATATGGCAACCTGGAGGCATTCTGGTGGTGTACAGAACACCCCACAGAAATGTAATTTCCTGCTTGTGTGATTGACTTACTGATTTTCACAGAAGTCCGCACTAAGATACAAGTTAGATTTGGGCATCCTCTGCAACAAACATTTCATTTTTGGTGAGATCCTCCCAAAGAGAAGTCACATCTAAAAGTATTCAGCCCCTGACACTTTTATAAGTGCAGATAATTATTAAATCACCGTTAATGTTCACTTTGCACATGGACACAAACAGCTATTCATCAAATTAACAAAAGGCAGGACTATGCAATGACATTTGTTAAAATCCTTGTAATGTACATATATAATCCAGAGGCGAATGCTTTTCTCATCAAAAGTGGAGTTACTCTTTAAAATAACCTCTACAAATCCTATACCCTAATCCAAATTTCAGGATGTGCAGAATACGGTGAATGAGAACAGACAATCACACTATCACTTTAAAGAGCAAAAAAATATTACAAAACTATTCTGTACATCTCTGCAATAGATGAACATTTTGTCATGTTGTATTCCTCCAAAAGCAATCATAGAGAATAAGTGTTGTTATACTACAAATCCAGTGTGCTCCTGACTTTTGGTTGGGCTGGTAGTACAATTTACTGAATTTCCAACCAGCATTGTCAATCCTGTCTGCTGGACTACAAAACATCACCTACCTATTACATGAATATATTGATTTTTTTCCCAACAAAACAATATTGCTGCCTTAACTTCCAGGTATAAAGAAACGATATCAGTAAATAAAACAGGTTAAAGAACAGAAGTTTGAAAGTTTGTTAACTTAGTGTTAAATCAGCCTGAAAGGATCACTAATTGAAGATACACAATCTTAGTTAATTGTCATAATGAAGAACTAACCTATGTTTAGAATCAAACCTGCACTTAAAGCAATACAGTTGGAGATCAAAAGTCTGAATCTCATATTTGGTTGTAGGCCAGTACAGGACAGTTTATTTTCCTTTTTTGTCCATCTACAATCCACACTGGTCAACCTCAATTAATATGTCTTAATTAAAAATGAAAAGGTAAGATCATGGGGTAATACATAAGGGTAATCTGCCATTTACATGAGGATTATATATTAGTGTAGCTAAAAAAAAAATTAAAACAACTCTGTCTCCATTTTATAGGCTTAAAATAATAGTTACTGCAAACCAAGCAACTGACACTCATCAGTCCTGCTGCCTGCACCACCAAAGTCCACTGGGTTGAAGAACCAAGCTTGCATGAAAAATGCTTGTACTACTACACTGTATGTCCTCTACTCATGTTAAACAGAATTAGAGAGCACAGAAGGGGATGTCAAAATCCCACACTCCCAAAGTGTGGAATAGAAATCTTCCAGCAAATTGCGATCTTGAAAATATAAATATGGTGTAGCAAAAACTCCTAAATAAATGTCAAATTCCTAATTCACATAAACAGGTGATTGAAACCACAATCACAATGCTGTAATTATTAAAATCTGCTGTTGAATTATGAACCAAATAAAACGGAGAAGAAATGAAACAAACAAAAATAAACATATAAACTAGATGCAATTGATATATTAACATACCGTCTGTGCAAATTCCATGTTATGAATAAATCCCCAATGTGATATGGAAAAAACAAACATGCTCCACCAAAGTTCAGGGTGATTGCTCACCTCCAGTATTAACCCATATTCTCATATAGGTAAAACACACTTTGTTTGTAAAATCCTAATAGGCGAGTGCTGCTCTCTCTCCTCCTCCTAGTGTGGATGACCATTGGAGATGATGTCACCTGGCTCCGTCTGACACATTGCATCACAGATCACTTGACTTCTTCAAGTATCAATCCCTACACCATATTTATATTTTAATTTGGTTTTCTGTAGTGGGTCACACAGATAGGTGTCAGCTTTAGTTTAGATTTATTATTTAATGTGGTGTAGGTGGCAGAGCACATGTTATTTAAATTTATGTGTAAATTTCGATCTTTACTGAAGTGGAGGTTGGCAGTGCCAAGTAATCTCCCACATTAATAAGCAATCAACACTGCTGTATCATAGACTGTATTGGCACCGACAGCACCAATCACTTTTCACAAAGAAAAGGAAAGACCACTCACCATTGTGGTCCTTTAAACCCGGAGCATTGAGTGCTGTTTCACTAATATGAATGACCAGACAGTAATGCTTGTTCACTGTAAGATCATTCAGCACTGAAGGCCTATGTAATCTATCTATGGCTGCTTGAGTGATCTTTTACTATTTTGAATGAACAATCACAGCTGGATAGCACTGATTGTTTATAAGTAATAGTAAGAGGTCAGTCAGCTTAGAGAGGAGGTAGGAACTCATTGCTGGCTGTATCTTCCCCCACAGGAACACCCATTATTTGGACTTTAGACTGGAGTGAAGCTACAGCCAACATTAACATAAATAAGGAGGAGCTTTTTACTCCATAACAGGGCTATCAATCAAAAGTTTTTTTTATTCATTCCCCAAGGGGACTAAGTGCATGAAACATTTGGTCCCCTGGGGGATTAAAAAAAACCTGCAAGTTCATGCACAAGTGTTTGAAATGGACTTGGTATCAGCCTCTTGTGATTTTATCATCTCCATAGAGCAGTACTCAGACTAGGAGCCAAACAGGTGTGCTGCATGCAAATATATTCACAGAAACATGCTGATATGAGGAGGGAGCAGCTGAGCAGAGGGATGATTTTACTGCTGCTTTTTCACTTCCAATCAGAAGTCTGGGGTTAGTAAGAAGATACCACAGTAATGTTTAACTCCACATAGTGTCATTCACCTATACTGTATATACAGTAGTAATATCCATCCCTTAGGAGAAAGAAAGAAAGAAAGAAAGAAAGAAAGAAAGAAAGAAAGAAAGAAAGAAAAAGAAAGAAAGGAAGAAGAAGAAAGAAAAGAAAAGAAAGAAAGAAAGAAAGAAAGAAGAAAGAAAGAAAGAAAGAAAGGAAGAAAGGAAAAGGAAGAAAGGAAGAAAGAAAGAAAGAAAGAAAGAAAGAAAGAAAGAAAGAAAGAAAGAAAGAAAGAAAGAAAGAAAAAAAGAAAAAAAAGAAAAACGCTCAACAGCTGGAAAGTTAACCTTCATTCTCCTGGGACAAGAATAATTCACCAAGGTGTGTACACTTGACAAAGTCCACTGATGAAACACATTTAGCCAGGCACTGGAATCAGACGTTTGGTATCCTCCATATTTGTTTGTACCATTTGTTCTTGATGATACAGTGATCTGATTTTTGATAATTTACTACAACATGGAATGGCCCTTGGCTTCTTTCCATGAGATCTGAAAGAATTATCCAGGAAATTGGTGGAAGGCTAGAGCTGATCCCTGGGAAGGACAGAAATACCTTGTGACCTTTCTGCATAGCACATACTGCCTTACTTGACCCATTAACATTTAAAGGTCTTAACAGTTGGTGAGAGTCCATTTGAAAATACATTTTCTGTAAGGTGGTAAAGTAGTGGTGGAAAGATTTCACATTATGTTTCTGTATTTAATTGTACAAGAGTGTATATACAATACTACTTTTGGATTCATTTATGAATTTGCACAATATAATCATTCAAAATTTTGTTAATGATATAGAATAGTGCTGGTATTGTGTATTAGTGTCATTCTTCTTGCTGTGCTGTGTGAGGGACTGTGTAAGTTACAGGGCTTGATGGACAAAAATACAATCCATTTAACAGGTAAAGCAGCTCCTATATACAATATTTATTTCCTCAGTTTGCTCTTCCCATTAAACCCCTTCGTGAGGTAATACTGAACAAAGGCTATTAGTGAGCACATGGAACATGCCACGAGTCATTTTGTGTCACTCGTTGCAGCATGTTACATGTAACTACATGTAATGAATCCCATACAAAAAAAAAAAATCTTGTTTTTAATAACAGTGCATGGTAACATTATTTTTTTTTCACAATAGGAAACACACATACTAATGCTAAGCCCATCACATTTAGCTGTGATATGTCTATGTACTACAAGTATACAAAATCAATGCAAATACATGTACAAATATTGGTCAATATCAAATTCAGAGTCTCATACCAATAGTGACATCTGAGGAGCTATGTGTCTCCAGAAATCCATTGACATGGTGCCATGCTTTAGGAATCCATTCAATTATCTTTATGAGATCATTGTTCCTCACATTTTTCTCTATTTCCATTTCAATTAATTTTCGTCTTAAGTATCTTCCAAGAAAACCCTTCACTGGATCTGTATGGTTCGCACATAGCACCCATCTGAGATGAAGAATATTACAAAAAATAAAAAAAAAACAGACACATATGTAGTACTATCATAACCAGCAATGAACAGCAAGCAGGGGCCTTGATATTTCTCATTTTAAAGTTGTCCATAACAAAAAGAAAAACAAATAAATACAACATAGCAATATGTACAAAGCCGTAACCTATACACTATGCACTGTAAAAAAAAATATCAATTACTGTTTACTGTAATGATCATAATCATTAGATAATATGTTGTTAGCTCTCTGGGGACAGTGTTACATGTACAGTATGTGTATGCCGATTGTTTTACCATTTAGCTTTACTTTTCACTATCTGTAGTCTTCCCCTCTCTTCATGTGAAACTACTGACACAGTTCTTTACAGCAGCGATCTTGGAAGGATATGGTTAATTCACAACATTTTTTCACACAGCACTCCAGGAAGATTTTTACTAGGGTCTTCCATTAAGACCTCCTTACTTTATAAGGTCTAGCAATCTAGTGAATTATTCAATTCACTTTATGGTGGAGGCCATGCTGAATTTTTCAATCTATGGAGGTGTATAAACAGTACTGTGCAAAAGTTTTAGGCAGGTGTGAAAAAATGCTGTGAATTAAGAATGCTTTCAGAAATAGAAGTGTTAATAGATTATTTTTTTATCAATTAACAACATGGAAAGCAAATGAGCATTCTAAATTTACAGCATTTTTTCACACCTGCCTAAAATGTTTGCACAGTATTGTACATTTATAAAGATGTAAGCATCACATATAAGTAAACTTTAAAATAATGTTATATTGCGGTCCCGCCTCTTTTGTTAAACTACTTGTTGAACAAAGCTCTAGCAGAGTAAATCTGATATAATTATCACTTAAATAGCCATTGCGAATATACTTGGGATTGATATGTCCTCAAGTGTTCTTTCAGTTAGGACTGATTCATCCAATGTTGTATATAAAACTAATGATAGTTATTAGCTGTGCAGAAATCTTTGCGTTTTTTTTCCTCTTTTTGATGTCCTATCAGAAAACCCCAGCTAGCACGCTCTGGTGGTGCTATCTTTATAGATGTGTGAAAGTATTGGCAGAAATAAGATCTTGGTTAGTTGGTTTGAAAATGGTTAGTTTAAGGGATTTCACATACATTCCAATACAATTTATATGATGTTTTTGGTTACAGTGAATGCAAACTAACACTATAGATGTTTTGTTTAGCAATTGGATACTCTTGTCTTAATTATTTTTAGTGTTTCCCAAAAATATTTTGTTAAGAACTAAATAAATAATTGGATTTTTTACTCAGAAACAGAATACATTAGCTAGCTATTAGAAACTTTAGGATAAAATATATATCCCACAATCTATAAATTTTGAACTCAAAACTTAGAACTTAGAACAAATAATTACCGAAAATTATGATGCAGTTCTAAATTTGGTGATGAGGAGATACTCTGATTCATTGTTCCAATTATGTAGGGGCTGCAAGAAAGAAAATACAATAAAACACTTCATACTAACAGATAAGTGTTGTGTCCTTCAATGTATAGATCATATTTTTCCTTCTTGGGTGACCTTACATTGCTGTGGGCATCTCTGGGAATAGATACACTATATTGCCAAAAGTATTGGGATGCCTGCCTTTACACGCACATGAACTTTAATGGCATTCCAGTCCTAGTCCATATGGTTCAAAATTGAGTTGGCCCATATAACAGCTTCAACTCTTCTGGAAAGGCTGTCCACAAGGTTTAGGAGTGTGTCTATGGGAATGTTTGACCTTTATTCCAGAAGTGCATTTGTCAGATCAGGCACTGATGTCGGATGAGAAGGCCTGGCTCACAGTCCCCGCTCTAATTCATCCCAAAGGTGTTCTTTCGAGTTGAGGTCAGGAATCTGTGCAGACCAGTCAAGTTCCTCCACCCCAAACTTGTTCATCCATGTCTCTGTGGACCTTGCTTTGTGCACTGGTGTGCAGTCATGTTGGAACAGGAAGGGGCCATCCCCAAACTGTTTCCACAATATTTGTCTGAAATGTCTTGGCATGCTGATGCCTTAAGAGTGTCCTTCAATGGAACGATGGGGGGAAAGCCAAACCCCTGAAAAACAACCCCAGACCATAATCCCCCCTCCACCAAACTTTACACCTGGCACAATGCAGTCAGGCAAGTACTGTTATCCTGGCAACTGCCAAACCCAGACAGGTCCATCGGATTCATCACTCCAGGGAATAGGTCTCCACTACTCCAGAGTCCAGTGGTGGCATACTTTACACCACTGCATCTGCTGCTTTGCATTGCACTTGGTGATGTATAGTTTGCATGCAGCTGTTCGACCATGGAAATCCATTCCGTGAAGCTCTCTATGCACTGTTGTTGTGCTAATCTGAAGGCCACACAAAGTTTGGAGGTCTTTAGCTATTGACTTATCAGCACTGTGTGCTTCAGCACGTGCTGACCCCGCTATGTCATTTTACGTGGCCTACCACTTCGTGGCTGAGTTGCTGTTGTTTCCAGTTGCTTCCACTTTGTTATAATACCACTAACTGTTGACTGTGGAATATTTAATAGCAAGGAAATTTCACAGATGGACTTATTGCATAGATGGCAACTTATCACAGTACCATGCCTGAATTCACTGAGCTCTTGAGAGCGACCCATTCTTTCACAAATGTTTGTAAAAGCAGTCTGCATGCCTAGGTGCTTGATTTTATACACCTGTGGCCGTGGATGTGATTGGAACACCTGAATCCAATGATTTGGAGGAGTGTCCCTATACTTTTGGCAATGTAGTGTATATGTATTATATGTATTGTCATACAAGACTTCTTGCATTTATAAGATCTCTGACACAGTCAAGGGATGTCAAAGTGGAATTATACTGCTAAGCATATTTAAAGAGTTAGCAGCATTTTACTAACATACTGAAATCGTATAACCAAAAGTCCTATACTTGTATCAAGGTGATGCTATGAGTCCATAAACCTGTCCTGCCATGACAAATAAAAGAGCCAAAGTAGAAACTGGCTTTGTTACAAATAAAAGCTGGAAATACCAGTTTCTCATTAAAAAAATCCCTACTCTCTTGATTTTTAAGATGATGTCATGGGGTTGATTTACAAAAGGCAAATAGACTGTTCTTTGTGCACGGGAATTTTCACAAAGCTTAGTGAATAAGGTGAAGCTCTGCTGACTTCCATCATCCAATCAGGCGCAAGCAAAAATTCAATTTTTTTTATATCCTTGCAGGATTCTTTGCAAAGCGACTTTTCACCACATTCACAAAGCAAAGGGCAAATTCTCTTACAAAGTGAACAACCCATTTGCCTTTAGTAAAAAAACCCATGTGAGTGCATAAATCTGTCCTGCCATGACAAATTCAAGGGACAGAAGTAGAAATTGACATTTTTATGACTAGAAGGTAACAAAGCCAAATTATATATACTGTATAACCCCATAGTGATACAGGGAAACATTGGTTTTCATGTTTTCTGGAATTTATTTAAATATTTTCACACAAAAAGAAAAAAAACAGTGCAAACTTATACAATCAGTCTTCTTGAGATTGCAATATTGAAAACATTTTTACACCATCATGGGAACATGATATCCTCATTATACTGCACATGCATATTAAACAATTACAATGAAAAAGCCCCAAATCACTAAAGTGTTCTAAGGAGACAAAGCTCTGTTCCAGCACCTGGCATTTTTGCCATTCCCCTCTTTTAATTAATGACACATGTAGATTACACAGGTTGTATGGCTAATGAAATGCAGGTACCAGGGATGGACTGACCATTGGAGCACTCGGGCACTGCCCGGGGGCCCGGGGTCAGTAGGGGGCCCCATGAAATGCCCCTGGTACCTTTTATAGGCTTTTTTTTTGGGTGTGCTATGAGTGTGGGCAAGGACACAGGGGCCCCATGATCCCCTATTGCCCCATGCGTTGTCAGTTCGCCCCTGGCAGGTACTGAACTGACTAAATCTAATCAACCATGGAACGGTATCATTTAGGTATGTCAGTAATTAAACAATGAGTTGTCAAATTTTCCAAGGGTCTATGCATCCTCAGTATATTAAGAAACGTAGTTCCTAGAAGGATACAGGCATGCTTCTCTTTTTCAGCTACTTTTTCAGAGAGAAGGTATACATGCACTTATCCTAAACCTGCTGTTTTCATTATTTGAGTGGGAACCACATCAACTATCAAAAGTGTAACTCCAGGTGAACTGTATTTCTTGAATGGAATTTGGAAATTCGTTTTACAAAATTATACCTTTCTCTAAATGATTCATGCTTGTGTTACTATGTTATTTCTCAAACTGATTTTTGAAAGAAAGAGTTTCTTTATGATCAGCTGATTGGTGTAGGTGTTTTAATAAGCAGACAATGTTTAACCACTTCCCCGCCGCCCTATAGCAGAAATACTGCTACAGGGAGGCAGGGGTGCGCAAAATAACGTATACATACGTGATTTTGCATTTCCGGGTAGGGAGCGCGAGCGAGATTTTCTAACAAGTTTAGAAAATTACAGCAGCTGAACACTGAATATATTATATATAACATTTTTAGCTGAGTTTTCCTTTAAATATCTTAGTAATAGTGTTAAAGTGTATGTAATCCCTAACAATAACATTTTCTTCTCTCTTTTGGTCTGTTAAATATACCATTAAAAGTGTTTTGTTATATCTGCTTAATATACATGCGGATTCTGCCAGGTATCCATTGAGCTGGAGCAAAGGACTCTAATGAATGGTAAGTTAATGACTATGGAATTTAAAGATTGGAAAGCAGCTAAATATAAAATTTTTGTAACATTTTTGGGTTTAAATAAACTTTAAACTGGACATATTCTGTTTGATTTTATGATGATGGGACAGTTATAGTTCAACAGATACTTAGGTTCAGTAGGCAAGAAGCACCTACTGACAAGCACATACATATTTGGCAATATATATAGTATAATCTAGCCATCTAGAATAGGTACTGTATCAAACCCTTATGCTACTGTGTATTCAAATCTTATTTAGTACACATAATATAACCAGTTTTTTTTATAAATATGCTGATGTTTCAACACTAGCATTTAAACAGCAATACCACTAGTCTTTCACAAGACATCAAGTGCTACAATAAAGTAATCAACAGATCTATTAATCTCTTCTGTTGTTGGTGACATTTGCTCCAACAAGAAAAGAGTGCCATTGTTGATTGTTACCTGAACACAATACAAGAAACAATACGTGTACATCCAAGATAACATATCCAAAATGTGACACTTTCTGATATGTTCCCTTTAACAAACTCCTTCTGGCAAATTGTGGTAGTCGATGCTAATAACCTTGCCTAACGTTAACGAGAAATAACTTGAAAGGTAATTGTACAAGGATATTATCATACCATAAATTTGTATTATTTTTCATCATGGCAAGCAATATTAATAATATTAACATAAGACCACTATAAGGTACTGATTAACATTATCATTAGGATGAGCATCTGAATATAATTAAGTAGTCATGTTTATAATTGACTTTGATTTGATTTACATGTAATGTCAATAATCATGGTTTTCTGCACTCTTAAACATGTAATGGGACAATCCACACTTCTATCAGGGTGGGGAGTGAGTTTAAGAGATTTGTTACACTTGCAAATTAGTAAAGTCATGTTAATATATGAACATATTTGTATTTGCCTTTGGTGTGATGTTCATGAAAGCTACACTTTGCTACAGCAATCAATCACCATCCTAATGAGCAAAAAGCTGATTAGAACATAGGTTTAAGCATTATACATTTAAGGGAAACATGAATTAAGTGTATAATAAGCAAATTAACACATAGGCTGTAAAGCAAGGCACTAATGTACATGCTTCTACCTTGTCAGAGCTTCTGAGAATTAAGAGCCAACAAAATAATTCCAATGTTTGTTTCATTTTGACCTAACTGCGCAGGCACATATAGATCACTGCTGCATTAAAGCAAAAGACACATAAAAGAAATGTCATACCATTTACTGTATTTACAGTTTAGAAATCCATTAAAGATGTCACTCAGGGATCCTATATGATGAAGATTATCTAGAATTACTACTAGTGGAAGGTCAGTATCATTATCCCCACTGCACTGGTCTGCGAGATTAGCTAGATACTGCCGCAGTTCCTAAAAATAAAATTAGAATGTCAAAGAAAATAACACTGCTATTATTTTCGGCATGTAAATGGAAACACATTGCTGCATAGTATATATTTACAGGAAAAAATTAGAGGATGCTGTGTTTACGTTACTGCATTTTATTGTACTGTACAGAGCAACCATTATCCAAAAGAAGTCCAGATCATTCCATACAATATCACATATCTTCACATTATAGTTGAAATATAATTGGATCCATACTTAATTATGTGATCAATTACATTCTTGAGATTGAGACAAAAACAATGGTGTGCCATTTACTCTTATAACCAATAAAACAGATTTTAGATTATATTAGCAAAACAGTTGAAAAATGATATTGATAGGTTGATATAGGTTACCACCGTTTGCTCATTGCTCACTGATGTATTAGAAAATGGTGCATATGTGCTTTCAATTCTCAGTAAAATTATTAAGGATTTAGGATGACCTATCATAATCCAAATTTGCTCTTTTTAAGCAGTTTTAAGTAAGGTGAACTCTAGTTGGCCTTATAATCTGTAATATGACAGGGAAAGTTAGGTTAAAGAGACCAAAGATACAGTAAGTCTGGCTTTATATTGACTATAGGATCCAAGTGGTATCTTATTGAAAAACAGCTTACCTTTAACATTTGAACACTATTTTATTTAGGGCCCCTTTCACATGGGGCAGACTTCGTCAAGTGGATCTGCTTGCTGATTGCCGCTGAGCAGATGGATGACAAGTCCGTGTCTGCTCTGCTTGTGCTATTCTCTATCGGGCGGTCAATGTAAACACACCTCCTGTCCGCTTACCTCCGACTGTTATCCAATCCGATTCGCTAGACAGATGGTGGACGTAACCCTATCTGTCTAATTTTGGCGGATTGGATGCAGGTGGGTGTAAACGGGTGTCCATTTACATCCACCTCCCCATAGAGAACAATGGGTGGTCCGATCGGGTCTGCCTGAAAAACGGACAGGCAGACCTGATCAGTCCACTCGTGTGAAAGGGATCTTAAGAGAGCAGTCTAGGACACCTGGGTCACTGTATATCTGGTAACTGAGATTCACAGGAGTTGATTTACCAAAGCTGGAGAGTGCAGAATCTGGTGCAGCTCTGCATAGAAACCAATCAGCTACCAGGTTTTTTTTTTTTCAAAGCTTAATTAAACAAGCTGAAGTTAGAAGCTGATTGACTACAATGCACCAGATTATGAATGATCCAGCTTTAGTAATTCAACCCCTTATTGTTAATATATTTGTCATGCTTTTAAAAATGTAGGTTGAATACCCTTATCCCATATTAGCATTGTCTTACCTATACCAATATTTCTGGCCAAAAGGCAATGCCGTTAACACTGGAATCCCTTGCTTCAGTGAACCTTTGCTCAGATCATGCACACTAAAGTATTTTCGTATTCTAAACAAGCAGTTAAAACACTTTACAGGCCCTTGTTCATCTATGATTCAAAGCTCATAATAGAGGCCCTGAAACTTGAAATTTGTTCAGTAATGTACTGTATGTCCCTTCACATAGCTTGGGGAGAGAGGAAACAACAACCTGAATTTTGACATCTCAGGTAATGGTTATTTTGTTTTCTGTTGTGTGTGCAGGGACTGAGGCAGCAACAGAAAACAAGGTCACCACCAAAAGATTAATACAAGTTAACAGCCAGCCAGGAAACTACCATCCTAATGCATGATGGAAGGTATAGTTTCCTGTGAGTTGAAGGGAGAAGGAGGAAGAAGTGACATGTGGTGCTAGTGTCTCCCCACACAAAGCTTGGTGGTGGTATTTGTTGCTAGAGCACCGATAGGAAATCACTGGTAAATTCAGATGACAAATAAGAAGGGATATTATATTTGTTAAAAGTTATCCTGGAGTGGGGTTTTAAAAGTCACTAAGGGTGGATGCATTCAAGCAATTGAGAGCCCATTTGCAAATACAATAAGTAAAATTTGAAAAAAAAAAAAAAAAAAAAAACAAGCAAGTATAAATGCAAAGGTCTCTCAGGTAAATGTTACAGTAATAATTCAGAATCTGTACTTACAGAAAACACACTACAGTTTCAAACAATTCTATTCTCTTGAAAGAGATAAAAAGAGATAAATGTACTTTTGCTTACTCACTTTACTTGTTTTGTGATCCACATTAAAGGTTGCAATTGCTTCCTCAATTTTCTTTCTGCCACTTTTATTTACAACATATTCAGCAAGTTTGCTAGCTAGATATGTCTTTCCCGTTCCACTGGGCCCGGATAATATAATCCTGTGATGTTCCATCAATAAATTAAAGTAGCGCTGAGTGATTGGTTTAGGAATAAGGGTATCAAACACAAAACTGTCCAAGCTACTTTCTTCAATACCTAGAAGAGAAAAATCATAGGTTTCTGGGTGATCTGAAATGAAATCATGCATCTTAAAACCATTTAATGTCATATAGTTGGTTGAGGGATCCAAAAGCCTAAATAAATATTAAATGTAATAATAAATTTGACTCTTATAGAAATTAAATATTGTTAAACCATGATTTGCATGTACTTTGATTGCACAGAAGGTAACATACTTATTCCATCATACGTAATATAAATACTGTATATCTGAGTGCACATAGATATGTGTGCCAACATTCACAAGTAAGGGAAAAATGTAATCACATAAAGCAACTTTGTGCAATAAATGACCCTCTGTACCAACAGATACTAACTGATAACAGGTGACAACTGTTACATAGTTGATAAAGTTGTATAAAGAAAACCAGTCCAACCAGTTCAACCTGTGTTAGTGTGTGAGTGCTCATGTCAAACATTTTCACAATTCCTGTTAAAGCAGGAATGGCTGACTGTAACTCAATCATTGCATATATACAGCATCATATATAAGATATATCTTCTTTTGGTCATCTACTGTTATTACCTAACATAAAAAAAAATCTGCCTTAATATATCCAGGTTAAGTTTTCAGATAACTATTCACCTTTTTTCCTTTTTTGTACTAAGCGTGAGACCTACTTGGATTCTCAGTGCTCTACCAGTTACTTTAAAATCCCAAGAGAATATATGTACTAAAAACTGAATGTAAGCTCCAAACAGCAGAGACGATTACAATAACAATCCCACCATCTGGGACTGCAAAAATTATATCTTAAGTGGCATCTTATTTCTGTGCTGTGTTTTGTTAAGGGGCACTGTGATGTAAAGGGGGGTAGTGATGTGAAGGAAAAGAGGACACTGTGGGACCTCTTTAACCACTTGCCTACAGGGCACTTATACCCCCTTCCTTACTAGGCCAATTTTCAGCTTTCAGCGCTGTCGCATTTTGAATGACAATTGCATAGTCATGCAACATTGTACCCATATGAAAGTTTTATCTTTTTTTTTTTTCAAACAAATAGAGATTTCTTTTGGTGGTATTTACACGCCACTGGGTGTTTTATTTGTCGTGCAAAAAATTTGAAAAAAAAAAAATTTTTTCTTTGTTTCTATTATAAAATTTTGCAAACAGGTAATTTTTCTCCTTCACTGATGTGCATTGATGAGGCAGCACTGATGGGCACTGATAGGCAGCACTGATGGGTACGGATAGGCGGCACTGATGAGATGGCACAGATAGGCGGCACTGATGGGCACTGATAGGCAGCACTGATGGGCACTGATAGGTGGCAATGAAAGGTGGCACTGATGAGCTGGCACTGATAGGCAGCACTGGTGGGCACTGACTAACGGCTCTGACTGGCGGCACTGCTGATCAGTGACTGGCGGCACTGCTGGGCACTGACTGGTGGCACTGCTGGGTGGCACTGATGGATGGTACTGCTGGGCTGCACTGATGGGCACTGGTGCGTGGCACTGGTGGGCACAGGTGGGTGGCACCTCTGGGCACTGATGGGCACATGTGGGTGGCACTGCTGGGCACTGATGGGCACAGGTGGGTGGCACTGATGGGCACCTGTGGGTGGCATTGCTGGGTCAGTGATCAGTGCCGATCCCTCCTCTGACAACTGCCGGTGAGGAAAGTGCAGCCGATAACCAGCAATTGCATTTCCTGGTGATCAGTGTGTCATTGGATACGGCTGATCACATGGTAACACTATGATTGGCCTTTTACCATATTACATGATCAGCTGTGTCCATAGGACACAGAGATCATGGAGATCGCCGGGTGCTCACAGGAACTAGCAGTATTCTTGACAAACGGTTTTAAAATATTTTCTACAAAGCCTGAGATTTGTTCGGTGAGTGTATTCATACCTGTTATGATGGGTCTGCCTGGATACATACAGTTGCACCTCTAGTAATACAACTGCACCTCTAATAATGTTGTATACCTTATCCAGTGCAGAAAATGCAGCAAAGGATCTTATGTTGGCGAAAGAGGGCAGACGTTCAAACAAGGATGAATCTGCACAGACATACCATCAAGGAACATAAAGAAGATGACTTCTGCACACCTGTGGGACACCATTTCGCACAACCAGACCACACAATGGGAGACCTCAATATTTTAGTTCTTAAAGGAAATATTTCAAATCCATTCAGGAAAGAAGAACTTTTGAACTAAGAATGATAATTCTATTTGACACAAGAGATAACGGCCTGAATTTGGACATGGGATTCCTCAATCATTATCCAACAGTTTTATGACGATCAGCTCAAGCTTGACTCCCTCTGTGATGTGAATGTGTTGTCTTCCCCCCTCCCCCCCCCCCCCCCCCCCCCCCTTTGCTTTTGCTATGTCTTATCTCTAGCCTCTTTTTTTTTTTCATCTCTTCTAACATTCTGCTAAAACTTTGTGATTTGTATAGTACTGCTTAGACCTTGAAGAAGGGGACACTCCCCGAAAGCTTGTCCTCAAAATTGTATGTTAGTGCAAATAAAAAAAGTATTACGGACAGTACTCAATTGTTTCTGTCGCAAATGCACTAATACAGCTACAATCACCTCAACGATCATAACTGTAGCTTACAATCTTCAGGTATTACAGAACAAATAAAATAACCACTGCATGACTGTAAATTGTTTACTTACACAGCAATTAATATAGTCTGGGAAAAATAAGACGAATAAAACAATGCATATACCTTTAAGGTTCACAGTGATGATATTATTTTCTCCTACTAGGTATCCACAAGGTAACATTTCAGGCACTTCTGTACTGTTTGCTCTAACTATGTCACCAATACTGTAGTTTGTAATGGCATCCGATGTTAAGCCTAGATTAGATGCTGCATCAACACGATAAATGTATTCCTAGGTGTTAATGTAGAAAGGATACAATTAATGAATGCCTTAATAATCCTTAGTTAAAAAAACACGAGGACACGAGGACAAGTGTGCAGATAAAATATGAATACTGTAATATTTCTCTGACAAATGTTAATATATAGAGTTAGTACACTTTTGTGTATGCACAGACAGATCTAGTTATAAAACAGGTTTGACATCATCATTCAACTAATACAACAAATATCTTTCATTAAAATCGCACAAACTGTGGTCTTTGCTTGATGAACATGTTTCCTGTGAGGGAGGATTTGCTAAATGATAAATGACATCTATATTTCTTTATAGTAAAACTCTTACCGCAGCAGACAAGCGGAGTGTGAAAACCACTGAGCACCTGCATGCTACAGGTTAACAAAGCTTTAGCAATCTTTTTGAATAATACCGTGCATCTTGCCAAGTGCCTACATTCAGCTTGACATTTACACAAGCACACTAAACAGGACAAGTTCAAAAAGCAATGACGATATTGTTTGGAACTCAGATTATTTGAGTCCCCAGAGCGCATTCAGATGACACAGTAACTGTGGTAACAACACAACTATTGGCAGATCTTTGGTCTTACAGGGCCCAGCTCTGACCCTTTTTCAGAAATGGTTGTTTCTTCTCCCTCACTGCGCAAAAAAAAAAGCATTATCATCAGGGTTTTTTTTTCCTTTTTAGCCAGACGAGATGCACATTTGTAACATTTTTAGGTGTTTAACCATAGATGTAAATCACTAATTTTCCACAATCTGCTAATATATTGACATATTTTAGATCATCATAAGAGACCATAAAAAAAAAAAACCAACGCTAACAAAGGTCAGTCTAACTGGTTTGCTATGCTTTTTCTGGAACCCTGGAGGTTCTAACTGTTGCTATATTTAAAGTGATATTAAACCCTCATTTTTTAAGCACTTTCAGTAGCTGATTTAATCTCTTACTGGTTATGCAGCTTCTTTATCTTTTACCGTAGGTTCACATCTGTGCGGGTAGTGCCGCTGTGGATCCGCACGAAAATCCGTGCAGCCGCAACACCCGCACAGAGAAATGCGGACCCGCGGGAGGGTGCCATTAATTTTAATGGCACGGCGCCTGCACTGGAAAATACAACCGTACTGGGAACTGAGATTCCCGTGTGGGCTATGTTTTCCAAAGAAGTGCAGGGACCCCTTCCCTGCGTGTCACACGCACAGGAGTCCATTCAAATGAATGGGCTCTCATGCCCGTGCAAAACGTGGCCTGCACAGCCGCATATATGTGAACCGGGGGTTAATCATGGCACATGTTCCAGATTAAGCTGGGGCCATGACTGCTGTTTTAGGTTGCCTTTCTCTTGCAGTCACCCTTGCTTGCCGGGACTCGAGTTGTGTCTCCTCACATTATGTGCTTCAATCCTACAAGCCTAGGATAGAAAGGCACTCCGTTGCTCCTCCCTCCTTGCTCGAAGATAAAATAATTACTGGGGACTGCACTGTCCACTGTAACTCTTTCCTGTGAAGACCAAAAATTTGGAGAAGCAGCACTAGAAGAGAAGGAACCAGCAGCATTGAAAGTTGTAAAATGCAAGCGCTAAAATGGGAAATTGAACAACTAGTTTAATGGGGAATGTCTAGTTTGTGCTCAATGTGTTAAGCAGAAAAAACAAAAAGGGTTTAATATTATGTTAAAGCAGAACTAAACCCATCGATTTAACAGTTTACAAAAACAGTTACATTATCGCCATGCTGGGATTGCTGACTGTCACAATTGCTTGTGCTCTCAACCAAACTGTCAAACCATCAAATGGCTGGTGTCATAGCTGATCACATGTGCAACTCCTTGGCAGTTGCAGATCAAACAGAGGCCAAGATGGCAGCTTCCTTGGCAAAAAAATATAGGAGGGTTTTGTTCCACTTTAATTATGTATGGCAACCCTGCAATCTTCTGCTGCATACATATTTTCCCCAAAATTTTCAGCTGTTTTTGTACAGATTGGGGAACTTGTTTCAACTTTTAGCCATGCCTATAAGGGACAGATATGATTCACACATTTATCCAAATATCAATGTCATTTACTGTTACCAAAACATAAATGTGCGAATAGATGAACTCCATTGATAAGACAGTTGAGAGCTTGCATGTGCTGACAGCAATTAAACCATTTTATTTTATTTGCGCCGCTTGATATTAATCCAGTAATAATAAATGTGTATAACATTTTATTTCAGTAGAATGGCTTAAAAGAGCAGTGATGATTCTGATGAACTCTTCTAAGTGTCTGTATTTTGTGTTTCTTGGCCGATAAACTCACTAGAAAGCTTTTTATAATGGGGAACTGTCAAAAAAAATTTTTCTTCCCTGTTTGATAAAGCTCTGTCTTGTTTTTAGTCTTCTTACATTTACATATTAACTGGACAACCAGATATTCAGAACATAGCAAAACCTCCTTAGCATTCAAAATACAATTACTTATCTTAACCATTTTAATGCATGATAACATTAGATAAATGTGTTACAATGGAGTAATAGAAAGGGGTGCTTAACGGGAAAAGCAAAGAGAGAGATGACATGAAAATCCAGGATTAACATGTTGACATCTGAGAGATTGTCAGGGAAAGGGATGCGGGTGTATGCACAGGGATGATTTGCTTCACAGCTTAGTAAATGAGCTAAAGCTTCATTTTGCAAAGAATACCCAATCACATACAAGGGAAATGTAAGGAAAAAAAAAGCATTTTTTCTTGCACATGATTTGCTTGCAGAGTGCATAATATTTCCTCCTCCACATGCCCCTTACCCTGACTTCTCCATCAACAGCTCAGCTATCAACCCATCCCCACATGCCAGGGTGCTAGGTGTAATCCTGGATTCTGAGCTATCCATTCAGCATATCATCCAATCGCTGCCTAAAGCTTGCCGCCTCAACCTCTGCAACATCTTCAAGATACACTCCTTCCTAACCAAAGACACCACAAAGCTTCTAATTCTCTCCCTGGTCATCTCTTGCCTTAAGTAATGCATCTTCCTCATCATTGGCTTACCTTTACATAGGCTATCCCCCCTTCAGTCCATCATGAATGCTGCCACCAGACTCATCCACCTTACCAACTGCTCAGTATCTACTACCCCTCTCTGCCAATCCCTTCACTGGCTTCCACTCATCCAGCTAATTAAATTCTAAATACTAACAACAACGTACAAAGCCATCCACAACTCTGCCTCCAGCTATATCAATAACCTTGTCGGAAAACACCAAATTGTTCTCTTCATTCCTCCCAAGACCTCTAGCTCTCTAGCTCCCTTGTCACCTTCTCCCATGCTCACCTCTAGAATTTCTCTAGAGCCTCTCCCATTATCTGGAACTCACTACCTCACTCTGTCCAATTATCTCCTACTCTGTTCACTTTTAGACAATCCCTGAAAACCCATCTCTTCAGAGATGCCTATCCTTCCCTCACCTAACAACTCTATATTTATTCTCTTCATCAGCCTATCCCCCACAGTGATTACCTTTTGTATCTATTGACCCTCTCTCCTATATTGTAAGCTCTAATGAGCAGGGCTCTCTGATTCCTACTGTACTAAATTGTATCGTAATTGTACTGTCTGCCATTATGTTGTAAACTGTCGGCGCTATATAAATCCTGTATTATAATGATAACTGCATATACACATTCTATTTGCCTTTTGTAAATCAACCCCACAGTCTTATCATTGCTCAAGTTACCCACATTCATTCAAAAAATGTAGATGTTCTTTTTACTAGGGTTTTCTTTTTTGCACTGATAAAAATGCATAAATGCACAACATAAATATATCAAACCATCTTTATCATTATTATACAGGGTTTATATAGCACCAGCAGTTTGAGCAGCACTTTACATTATAAAGGGACAGTACAGTTACAATACAATTCAAGAGGGTTATGATGGCCCAGCTCCTGAGAGCTTACCATCTAATAATTTAAATTTACCATTTCTTTTACAAATGTTACAGAAACTACAACTATAAGGCTTTATGGACACAGCCTGTACGACTATGTGTATGAAGCCTATATAAACTATTCTGCTTCTAAACAACTCATTGGTGCCTCAAGGCCCAGTTAATCCCCTGTTGAGTGCTGCCAGGCTGTCAATCATAGCCCAGTCAAAACCACATGTGTGTTACACCTTACTGTGACATCTATGTGTCACTGCTCTCTGTCAGCTGCAGGAGAGTGGTTGAGGGTGGAGATAAGGGATTTACTGTGACTTTTTTAAAAAGTGGAATTGCTTATCAATAACTGCTAAGTCTGAATGTTTTTAGAAAACAATACATTTTAAAACAGATGATGGAGCAAATTATGTAGGCACTGCTATGTTTACAGGATTGGAAAATGGAATGGTTCATTTAATTGCACTAATAGAGTTCAAGGTTACCTTAAATAGCCGTCTAATAACTGCATCTAAAACATCCCATTTGGTCTTTCCACTGATTCCAATGGACCCTATTAAATACTGGTGACTTTTGCAATCCTAGAAAAAAAAAATGCATAAGGTATAACATAAAATCATTGTGTCAAATATATGTGGTTGCATCAAATTTGGTCGAGATGTTTCAAAACAGAAAAAAACTTTTTGTCTGTGTTTTTACGCATTAAAAAAAATCTTAAGAAAAATTATAAAAATGTTCAATGATCAATTTTAGGTGAAACTCCTGTTTTTTGACAAAACATAAATGATCCTTTACAGCTCCATCACAGAGAGGATTTAGCTTATTTTATTACAGATCAATTCAAGATATTTCCCCATTAAATAATTAATTCCAGGTAGGTTGGCAGGCCAAAGAAAAACCTAAAAAATGACTACTAGATTTCCTACCAACATGTAATTTTCTTTGACATTGACTTTGATATGTATTCAGGCTGATTTACAAAATCTACAACAAAAGTGGGCCTACAACTCCCAGTTGTTACTACAGACAAGGTGTGACAGTGCTGTGCCCTGTCACGGTGTAAAAAGGGTTTTCTATCACCCCGAATTCTCATCCAGGCAGATTAAGTGGCTCCAGGCTGCTTGTTTCATTCAGAGAAAACTGTTTTTTTCATTTTCGTCATTGGTAGGTAAAACCTAGTTTGGGACCTGGAGGTTTTGTAGAGACTTGGGTGGGATGAAATCTCCAATCTTGGGACTTGGTTTTGGGCCCCTCCAGCACACTAATTGAGCATGTTTGTGCTGGGCTTTTAGTAGAGACCTGACTTTGGTTCGGTGATCCACCCCGACAGATAGAGGAGGTCTCTGCCCAAGAGTCAGTAGGGCTCCACCTAGAAGACAGGTGGAAGATGAAAGGGGTCACAAGTTCTGTGCATAGAATTTGTGAGAATATTGTCTGAAGGACACAGAGAAAAGGGCCTGAAAGTTGAGGCCAGAGCAGCAATGCTGCATGTGTAGGCCAGGAGGCTAAATATGTATTTGTTTGCAAGAGAGAGAAATGATGAAAACCCTCTGAAAGGGAAACTCATTCAATTTGCTTGTGTTGATCGTTCTATTAAAAGAATTTGTCAAGAAAAACCCTTAAAAAGAAGTAAGCCAGTGGCAGCATCCTTAAAAGCGCTAACACTCTACTCTACAGAACTTACCTTCAGTGATAAATACCACTGTAAAATGTTCAGCAGTTTAAATATATATTTCCATGTAAAATCTTTTCAAGCCTAGCTAGTTATTACTGACTCTACCCATGATTATGACAAATTTATGGAGCCAAGCTCAGCTTTTACAAAAGAAAAGTCAAGATTTGTATATAGTATCAGCTGCTATTTTTATCTGGATATACGGATTGTGGTACAATTTGCACTTAAGGTAACTACTGCTTATACTTATGCATTTTTTCATGAAATGCTCAGTTTGAATTGTCCAGGTTTGTGACAGGTTTACCTAAAGTGTTACTAAACCCAGGACCCTGCATTCTCTATATCTGGTCTCCCACATTACACAGAACATGGAAGTGCAATTATTTTAGTAAATAAAAACTGCTAAATACCTTTTCTCATCAGCAGTTAGAGCAGTCATTGTGACTTCTATCAGTGTCCAGCAGAGCACATGTTAAAGCTTGTAGGAGGAGTTTTCATTTTGCTCTAGGAGGATGCAGAACCCCTGACCTGTGTCTGGACAGCGCTGATTGGCCCTGTGCTGATGACATGCACTCTCCCAAGAAAAAAAAAACCTCTCTAGCAATACACAACAACCTGAGCATGTGCAGAGTGACTCCATATGATATATCTTATCAGGAGATAAGAGGGGGACACAATGCAGAGGATTAACCCCTTACATTCTACAGTGAGTATAACCAGCATGCTTTGCTTCATATACAGACTGATTTTACTGTTGTGGGTTCAGTAACACTTTAACACTAGTTAATTTTTTTTATATTTCCATCTAAGAGACCACAGTGTGAACTCTGCACTGCAATTTTGAGTCTACACAAGAGAACCAACTGAGTAAATATAAAAAAAAGTGTACCTTGGTCCTTCCATATCCTTTCTTAACAGAGATCATGATTTTAACACTGCACCCATCTTTGTGGCAAGTTCCATCTCTCACATCGTCCAGTAAAATATCTGCAGAAACAGATATTGTAAGTGTAAGGTTATTCATATGTATTCATTTGAGATCTACTGCATTAAAACAATATGGGTTCCTAATACTGTATGGCCATCTTAAAACAAACAATAATGGCAATATTTGCAACTTCCTACCATGCTTCCTACTAGGTAACACAACACACTGATTGTATTTTACTGTTCGTCTCTCTCAGTGTACATTTGGAAGTCAGATGTGAAACAAAGTCATCCTCTATTTCCTATCTTGCAACTGGTTTTAACTCAGCAGTCACTTGGCAAAAAAGGGTGTAAATGTAACATGACTTACCTAAAGAGGGCCACTTGAAGGAGAATTTACAAACTTCTATACATTAAATATTCACTCAGAACAATAAACCAAGTAATTCAAAATGTCAAGGCTTCATCAAGGTTATCATATCGAAATCATTTTAATACCAGCTTATAACATCTCTTTAATAAAAAAATATATTATAGTAGCTTTCTCAAGTATAGATGAATATTTAACTAAAGTTTGTTTCAAATGAGGTCATATGTTAATTTTAAAGGTAATTATACTTTGTACAGCTTTACATATATTGTACTGTACACACATACATAAACACAAATTTGGTTTCTGTAGCTAAAGTATATACCATAACATTATGATCCCCCACCATAACCTGTCGAGGCATGGACTCCACATGCATCAATAAGCCACTCATGACCCTGTTGCTGGTTCACCAGTTTTCCTTCCTTGGACCATTTTGGTAGGTCGTGACAACCGCAGACTGCAAACATCCCACAATAATTGTAGATTTGGAGATTCTCTGACCCAGTCGTCTAGCCATTACAAACTGGCCCTTGTCAAAGTAGCTCCAATATTTGTACTTGCCCGTTTTTTCTATTTTCAACACATCAACTTTAGCAACAATATGTTCACTTGCTGCTGAATATATCCTATCTATTTCAGGTGCCATTGTAATGAGATAATGAACATTATTCACTTTACCTGTCGGTGGTCATAATGCTATGGCTAATCAGTTTAAATGCATAAACTGAAGTTCATAAAGTCCTGTTTCACAAACTGTATACCTCCCAGCCTTTAGAAATATAAGCCAAACCAAGTTATGTGCAGTCCATAATCATGAACTTTTCACTGCAAGTGTTACCATAATCAGACTTGCGGTGCTCATTTCAGGCCCAAGCTCAGGACTGTTCAGAGGTATGTAACAGCAACTTTCAGCTGTACTAAAACTAAAAAGATTATTTTTTGTTCTACTGTTCCGTGTTGTTGGTCAGATACACTGTATGAGCTTTCCCATTTGAACCTTGGTTTTTCATAGATATAGCCAAATTTGAACAAAAAAGAAACAATAGGTATAGCATCATATCCTGAATGAGATTTAATTGACCAGAAATAAACAAAAATGCCCTTTATATAAAGACAGTATACACTACATAAATTCATGTCTGTCTTAAGAATAGTACATTTTTCTAACTTCTAAATCAATACTTAAATGAAAAATGCAGACTTGAATACCTGTAGCTATGGTTTCTGTTATATTCAGATTATTTAAAGAAAGGCCTAGTGAGTGACGTGAAGAGGATGAGGTACAACTTGATGATTCAGAGGAAGGCCGGTTTATTTTTCCCGGGGTGCTAGTTTCAGCCTTTAGCCTGTCATTCTCAGCTTTCAGTATTTCAATTTCATTCTAAAAATTCAAACATATAGTATGTTAAAAACATAATAGTCCATGGTTGAATGCCAAAAAAAAAAACTTCAAATAACAATAGAAGCCAAACTGTTATAATAGCTGCTTATATATAATTTCTAGTAATCAACATGTCCACGCTACCTTATAGAGAATTTGTGCACATGGTAAATAGCTTTGATACAGGCCGCTATTGTCTGATTTGCATGCTACTTCCTCAGCAGTTAGCTATCCCTCTGAGTTAGGTGACTGCTTTGGATTTAAAATGCATTATGTAAGGCAGACAATGACAGCTTCCAGAGACAGGTATTGAATTAATATAAGATCATCTTTCTTAAATGGAAACACCATAGCTCTTGTATGATTTTGTAGTGCACTAACCACAGCTGCTGCATTTATTGTTTTTACAGACTCACTTTAACTGTACTAACTTTCCTATGACATTAAGAAGTTATTTTCTGCGAGAAAAAAGTTTTTTTGGTGTTCCAAAGCCTAAGTTTATTATTAGGCAAAAGAAAGCTTAAATTGGCATGAAAAGCTTGCTTTTCCATCACCACCTACTAAGATAGCAGGCAAAAAGTACCATTTTCTATTATCTAATAGTTATCTCATACCAGCAATATAGGATTAACCGTGACACTCAAGGTCAGATCCTGCTGTAGGTGACAGAACTCATGTACACTTTAATTGAAGAATATTTCCATCACCACTTTAGGTGACTGGGTAGATGGATTGTTTGAGAAACCAGAAGCATGGCCATGAACACCACCTCAATCTTCATGGTGGTAAAACTTTTTGTGAGCAATTAACAGAACCTCTAAGGCTGGCCATAAATGGATTGTTGTTTTTTTATTTTTAATCAGCCCCAGTGAACCGATCTAAAGAAAACAAACAGATAACTCCATCCACACAAGCGAGGTGGATGGAGGATCCCTCCTTACTGTGCAATTGTATTCTGACAGCTGGGACTTCCTACTGTATACTGTTAGCAGATTATTCCACAGGTTAGTTTTCTTTAAACAGTACCAGCATATTTAGAATGTCGAAAATGAGAAAACGGTATCAATGTACAACCATCTATAGCACATAACATTTAAAATGCGGAGGATCATTGACCTGCATGCGGTTCATTGCTTCTCTGATTTGGTCAAGGTGATGTGCAGAGCTAAGAGCCTCCAGGCGGATGTCTGTCAGCTTCAACTCTTTTTCTCGAAGTTCACCCTTTAGCTGCAGGATTATTTCAGCTTCTGCTTCAGTGCATTCACAGATCCTTTTGAAGGAAAAGAATCATGGTTTATAAGCAATTCATAGGGAATGGCATTTCATTTTGTAAATGAGCGAAGGCTTTTTTTTTTTTTTTAACAAAAAGATTAAATATTTAAATTCCGAAGTAAAAATAGCTTGTAGAAAGTATTCATTCTAACTTCTTGCCTGAAATAGGATAAGTCAACAACTGATTTTGCAAAGAAATTAATTGAGAATTTTCCAGCTTTATGACTCTTCTTCCCTGAGGTCCTTCTAGGAAACCTGGAAAATGTAGTGAGCACTGAAAGAACACAATTAAAGCCAATCTGTTACATGTGAAGCAAAACCAGTCTTGTAGGGCAGATCAGAGCCATATTAAGGCCAAATGACTAAGCATGGTAGCAGCTTTACTCACACCCACTCCTTACCCACTATGTTTAAATGAACAATTTCCACACCCACTGTATTATTCACTGCATTATAAAGCTCATTACACTTTTAAGGCCTTTGGGAAACTACAACTTCCAGTGTGCTCTAGTATAAATTCAGGCCATATAATGTACAGTACTATATACGGAATAATGGAATGCATGTGTTTTAAACTGTACTGGGCTCTCTCTCTCTCTCTCTCTCTCTCTCTCTCTCTCTCTCTCTCTCTCTCTCTCTCTCTCTCTCTCTCTCTCTCTCTCTCTCTATATATATATATATATATATATATATATATGTTGTGTAGTGCTACCCCCTTGAGAGCCACTGGTTTTGGGTCCCCCTTATTTCCTGCACGGCCAGGCAGCATGTATTTTCCAACTTCCTTTCAGAGTCGTAACCAGTCCATGGGGTTGTTTTTTTGGGGGGAAACAACTTGGATAGGGTATAGGAGTATATAAAATGCCCAACTTGACTTGAAATAATAACCCTGAGGACAAACTTCCTAAAATCAGTAAAAAAAAGGATGGATTATGGATTTTCTTCTCCCTCCGGTGTGGCATGAGTTTCTTGATGTATCAGTAACAGTCTCTGTGAGGAGAACTTGGTCTCTTCAGACCCCAGCTAGAAACTGTCCATCCACCTGACCTGTCTTTAAAGAGTATCCTGGAGTAGGAGATTCTATCTCAGACTTATAGCACTATCCCAGGGAGAACTGGCTGGGTATAGCACCTAGAAGCTCTCTCTCATGTAGGCCCCAGGGGTGTAGAAGTGCTCACATTGTCCTCGTGTCCTGTAGCTTTGGGTAAACTGCTTTCAAGTTTTTCGCTGGTCTAGTTTCTTTCCAAGCTTACAGGCTGTCCTTCCTCAGTGGGCTGTAGGGCAGTGAAGCTCCCTCTGTCAATTTGCTTCTCCCATTCTTCTGACCTCCAGCCTGGAGGTAGAATCTTCCTTCTCTGGGTTCCCCTCCCAGGCTACACAGCAGCACACCTCAGCACTCCATCTTCCACCCAACTTCTCCCTGCTGGCCAGGCTCCCTCACATTTATGGACTGATTAGGTCACCTTACCAGGCCTCCTGCCAGGGGATTGCCAGATTCCCATAAATATGCCGATCAGCACCTTCTGGCCTCCACCCAGTAGCTTCTAAAAACTTCATCAAGCACCAGAGGCTTGACCTCCAGCCTGACCCCAAGTAAACTCACTGACTCACACCCAGGCTTCTAACAAGCCTCTAACTACACTACAAACTATTTACACCAGAGGGCACTACATCCACCCCCTCTAAAAAAAAAAGAAGTCCTGTCCTCATGGGCCGAACACTTCCTGAGCCCAGGTGCAAGGGCCTGCCATAAGAAAAATTGGAGGAGAAATGGGTACAAACTTGGAAAGGGCTATGTACAAATAAATACTAAGTACAAAAATAGATTATGTACACTTGAAATATATAACAATATATACAATTTCTAACTACAGCTCCCTGCAGCTAGCGAACTATTGGTGGAACATACGTACAATGAATAAGCATAAGTAAGCGGAGCGCCTCCTCCTAAGAGGAAACCCTCCCTTGCAAAGGTTAGTGAAGAAAGTCTTATGAGCACAGCAGTCCATGATGATCCTGTGACCGAGAAACACAAACTAACTAAACTAGCTATTTACATTATTGTGTCAGCAGGGGGTTATGGGCCTACTAGAAAAAAAAATAACAAGGCACTTCAGCATTTTGTATAATGTCTTTGAACATTAAGAAGGAGCTCCTTCACATATCAAACAGCAACATTGACCCCATATCTTCTCCAAAGCAAAGAATGGATAATACTGTCCCAGCCTAGTCCACAAAAAGAACAAATAAATGGGCAAAGGTAGTAGATTCCCCTGCATATTGTCTTCAGGCTGTATAAATATGCATTCACCACCTTCTGGCCTCTACCACTAGCTTCTATAAACTTCTCCAAGCTTCTAGATCCAGGGGGAGGTATCAGAGGCCTGACCTGTAGAGCCCTCCAGCTGGACCTGAAGTAAACTCACTGACTCACACCCAGGCTTCTAACAAGCTTCTAACTACACTACAAACTATGTACACCATAGGGCTCTACATCTGCAATAGGTGATTAGGGGCTGGTCGAATTGCATTGTCAGTGTATGCATGACCTACTCCATCACACCAATTGCCTACAAATGGATTCTCATTCCTAAACAGTGGTTAGACCTCTAAATTAACTGCAGGAACCCTAGGCTCCTGCCTAGTTTACCTTGTGGTTGATCTGACTTTGTAGCAGACTGAGAAGAAATCACCTGGTTATCTTCAATGGAAATTAACATCTCTTACTGGGTGGCAAATCACTAAGCAATTTCTGACAACTTGACATCCGCAAGGTTCACTGCTTAGTGAGAGTCAGCAAGGATCACTGGCCTCACCAAAGCAGAAACAGCAAAGAGCCTTACTGTCCATCAGCATACAATTACTTTGCAATTGATTTTGACTTTAAAAACTACGACCATTTGGTTAATTTGTAACTTACCAAACACTCCTAAATATTTAGTAATTTCTGGTAATTCATAATTTGTCTTATATGCTGTACATGAGAGTTTTATATACCGTACAATGTTATTTTAAAACCATGAGTAGTTTCAGAATTTATTAATTAAAAAGACTCAGTTGATGAACACACTATTTACTAAATCTGAAGTCTCCATGAATGCAAATGTGACTTTATTATTAAAAAATGTTTATACAAATGCTGCAAAGAGCAGTTGAGTGCCATCACCTAATTCAAACACTTACCAATCTGTGTAAATTAGTCTGAAAACAGTAGGCTGCAAACAGTAGGCTGCTGAAAGCTACTTTACATTTGGTTCATTGTTATTGCAACAGGATGTCATTGCATTGTCTATTGCCAATTTTTATATTTTATTGCATAATTGTGGCTGCAAGATGTGTACTTCTAATAACACTCCAGTTTTTCTGAAACACAGATCTTCCTTTTTCTGTTCTGTAAATACTGTAGCATGCCATGTGTGAACATTTGCTGAGATCCATCTATAACATTGGTAAATAGAAATCTCTACCAATTCCTAAAAAGTCTAATTTGTTACAATTGTATAATGTGTCTTAGTGTTGTAATAAGGCAATTGCACCCTAGAATTCCAATAGCTGATGCATGTATTTCATTAAAGGCAAAGTACTTAGCAATGTGAAAGTAAATACATAATCAGGGATTTATGTATATGTATTACAATCTCGAGTCATGCCCAGACCTCTGGAGAGGGAGAGGGTGGGAAAGGAGAAGATAGGCAAGGATTAAGGAAATCTGGTCTGGAACTGAGTACTGGTTACTAGGAACATAAAATTAATGTTTAGCCATTTTAAAATGCTCTGGTTGGCTTCAAAGTGAAATGAAATGTCTAATACCAACAGATTGCAAAGTAGTCTGAAAATCAATTGTGTATGTTTGTAAATCCACTTTTAAAGATATTCTGTGAAAAATTGAATATGGAAGCTGTCACTGTTGACTAAAGACAGCCATACATGTATTGTAATTAGGCCAGTTCAGCAGGGACCAGTTGAATTTCAACCCATGTATGGGCAGGGAGGTTTTACCAAAGTCAATCTACCAAATCACTTCTGTACAACCGTCCTGTCGGCGTTTTGCAGCTTGATATAGCTGGTAGGGCTGATCAGTACATTCTTCTCTCTGCTGACAGAAAACAATCTCTCAGCAGGAGGATTCCCTCATCCACCTTGAATGTGTGGATGGGGGAATTGGGTCAGTTTTTTCATTCAATCCACTGGTTGAATGAAAAAAAAAAACTGACCCATGTATGGGATGCCTTACTTTCAAAGGTGCAAAATCCAGGGCTGTAATACTGATCCTGTCCTCACTATCTAGAAGCCTGTATGATGGAGGTTAAAACTTTCCAGACTGCTCTGGCTGCAAGTTTTTTCTAGGTCAGTGGCTCACTAGATACTGAAGCCAGCAAGGACTGCAGGGTATCTGGTTTAAGAATTCTGCATAGCAAATTAGACTCCCACACTCTCCACCACCACACTTGCTCTGCCCAAAGTAACTGAAAGGCAGCTGAATTCCTCTTGGTTTCTGTACAATTTGTAGTGGCTCTAATGTGAATGATACCTGCAATTGCTGTTTGACAACTTAATTTAGAAGTCCATTAGCCTTAATTCACAAAGTTAGCATGCCAGGATAAGGGTCCCTAATTTAAAAAAGGACAGATATTTTCCAATATGACAAGTCCAAAGACATTTGAAAATTACTGTCACATGGCTAAAATAAGGAACCTTATCCTCCTACCCTCCTACTCATGTATAGACTTTAAAGTGACACATCATGACATCCTTATTCTTCAAAAACAATCCAGTACTTAATGGACTTGTAATCTATTTCAGGGTCGATTTGTCACACAGGCACCTCCTCCTGCAGTTTCCTCCCTCCAGCAGGGCTAATTGCATGTGGACAGAGCGGGTGACCAGTGTGTGGATGGGGGAAATAACTAGAACCAATCTTTTGTGTGGCTTCCACTACAGCAACTGAAAAACCAGCATCTCCTCCTCCCTCCCATTGGCTTTCAGCTGATGCAGGGTGAGCCACAAAAGATCGGTTCCAGTAATTCCCCCCACCCACCCACCAATCTGATTACCCCCTTTTGTCCACTATCAGATTCCCCCCGCTGCAGGTCCCATTCTCCCTGGTAGGGGTCCCAGTGCATTAATTTGCTCAGGGTCCCTAACTATATTTTTCTGACTCCTTCTAACATCCCCCTGAGTTCCTGAACCTCTTCATATCCCCCACCCCCTCCCCCACTGCCATTTGTTTTGAATGAGCCAATGTGCATTAGTTAGGTTCAAGGGCCCTGCTCTGTGCACACTACACATTGCATAGTCCATAATCCATAGTCTCTAGTCCAACTCAGGAGTGAACAGAAGAGTGTGGCCCAGGGGCGAACTAACAACTCATGAGGCCCCCGGGCAATAGGGGATCATGGAGCCCCTGTATCCTTGCCCAAACTAAAAAAAGCCTATGAAAAAGGTACCAGGGGCATCTCATGGGGCCCCCAACTGACCCCGGGCCCTCGGGCAGTGCCCGAGTTTCCAAATGGTCAGTCTGCCCCTGGTGTGGCCTCATTCGTACATACAGTGGAGAACAGCGGATAATGGATGTAGCCACCCTTTAACAGGAAGGTGGATCAGAGCATCTAAAAAAAGGAATTTGGGAATTTTAGCGGCTGAGAGCAACAGAAGGTACTTTTAAGTTAAGAAGTTAGGAATACATACTTAAATAGAAGTTAGGAATACATACCAGTGTCACTTTATTTTCACTTTAAATGTTGACATGTGGTTCCAGAAAGCCTATATGATGATGTTTTCCAAACTAAAGGTTGTACATGTTTAACCCCCTTAGTAAGCCTTTTTATCTCCTTCTTCCCCTTCTCTAAGCTACATTGTACCATTTATGTGTACATAATTGTTCTTGGTTTTCATATGTTCGGTTTGTTTATGTATTTTCACATAGAAAATACACACAATGAATAAACCTTTATTTCATTTGTGAACACTTTGTACCATGCTTTGAGACATCATAATAGAATCATCATAAATGGAACCTATAGCAAAATAAACCCCCACTTTTGCAAAAGAAGGCTGAGGAGTTATAAGCTACCTTAGTTTCCAAACACAATAAAACAAATCTGTCTATCATAATGTTAATAAAACCTGGCTCTGTTTTATCATGTTCACATGCTCATTACGAATAAACTACATTGGTTTACCTCTTTCCTGACCAGAGGCTATTGTGGTCCTGATGCCCAAATCAAATTTAGTCCATTTTTCTTTGCACTTGTTTTTTTATTTAGGCTGACAAATGGGGCAAGCACATTTTAAGAAAGCCTTTTGGCCATTTTGCACTGACCGGTTTTTAATTAAATGTTTAAAAAAGTTTTAGTTTTAAAAACTTTTTGAAAAAAAAAATATATTTTTGTTTGTTTCACATCCTAATAAAACAGTAACAGCTCCAGCCAGCTTTTTTTTTCTAAACAACCTCTATAAATCATTGGCTGTCGTAGTAATTATATAATTGGGAACCACATCAGTTGTTTCTCAGTTGCTAGATTAAGGGCATTCATCATGCCTAATATGCACTTTAGATAGACTACACCTACTGCAACTCACCCCAGGTTTCCATGGACCACAAGGAAGCTTCTATATTTCTATCCTTAGGGGTACAATTTCAAAAATATAATTTACAATTATAGGGACCCATTTATATAGTCAATAAAGACTAAATGTTCATTTTATATATATATATATATATATATATATATATATATATATATATCATTATTACTGTATGTGTTTATATAGCACCAACTTCTTCCAGAACATTGTACAAACTGAGGTATATACAGATATATAGAGATATTGGCAATAATATTGTAAAACCCAAAAACATAAAATGAGTCCTGGTAAAAAGAGCCAACAATCCAAAATGAGAGGAGATAGAAATAAAATGCAAAGGTGTAAGCAGTAAGTGTCTTGCAAATTAATAATGCAGTGATAGGGAATATCAGGAAATATCATGTGGTGGTAAACAGATGTGAGTTTTTAAGAATGAATTCCAAGTGAAAACAATTTTGCAGCACAATTAACACACAAGTGACATTCACATAAAAAAAAAAAAAAAACTTCCTTCTGAATGTTTGCCATGATCTACTTTGCTTTTTTCAGCATACCTTAGCTCTGCATCAGAATCCCAATAATTTCAACAGGTTTCAGAGCTGTGGCACACATTTCAAGAAAAAGACCAAGTAGGCCCAAGTCCTAAGTAGAGTTAGAGCTGATTTTAAAGACTTCAACGTTTTGACTAGAGGGACACACCTTCACCAATCCTCCAACAGGAGGAAATGCAGATTTAAATTCTCTTGCTGTAATCAAGGCCAGACCAAGACATAAAGAGCACTATTTACAATTAGATTTGGGGGGCTATAAACTATTATATGTATACAGTACATGCACAATAGATTATAGAACATGAGGTTTAATTACACTCATGGTGTTCTCTACTGCCTAAATAAAGTATATGAAGAAAAAACTGCTAGATTATCGTTAAGCAAATAAGTAGAGAAACTATTATATTGCACCTATTGGAACCAGGTTAGGTGATAGCAGCTATTCGTTAGTTTTTATTGTCCCCATGTAAGCGCAGGAGGGTATTATCTTTTGTCTATACAGGAATGGCTGTAGCAGTTTAGCAAATATTTAGTTACAGCACAATGAAAATATCACAGGGTAAAAAAAAAAAAATATGTAAACCATATAGGTCAAAATCTAACAGACTGATCTTTCCTAATAAATTTTTTAAAAAAGTGGCAATTTCCACTAACATATAAAATTAGAACCAATGACTCTAAAGTAATACGCTGCCAAAAAACGTTAAAATCTAAAAAAATAATAAGATTGTTTATAATTATATTATTTTTCTGTTTCATTTTACAGTCAGTGGGTCAGAGACTGTTTTAGTGCATAATTCCATGCAATCTTCTTATTCTGGCACACCGTTTCAATAACATGCATCACACTACAGTTTACCGAGATCTATGCTTGTAGGTCACCCGGCCATTTTGCCGTTTCTTTGGTACCCAGGCTAAAGAGGACCTGAATTCACACAACAGATAGACATACGTATTTGTAATGATAAAGAAAAATAATGGTAACAAAATGTGATTTTTAAACACATACACATGCAATGGAATATAATATGTATATGTATGGCAGAACACAAGTGGGAATGAATGACATATGTTTCGAAGACTATTCCATTCAACAAGAGGGACCAGTTAATAAATGCATAGCTTGCATAGCTTATGAGTATACTGTACATGTTCTTTTAATTCTGCACTTTTCTGAAAATCTACCCAGTACACAAAAACATTTCCACATCAAGTATGTTTTTTGTTAAAGTGACTCTTCCATGAGGAAAGTATACGGGCTGCCATTCCTGGCTTTATTTTGAAAATGATAGTTGCCTGGATGTGTCTGCCTTAAGTACTTGTGAATCACATGTAACATGCATGCCTTAAATAAGGGACAGAATTCTTTAATTCTGTACTTGTTCCAAGTTAGCGACTCAGACAATATTGAAGCCAAAGCATCATTATGAAAGCCAGGGAAGGGGCACTTCCAAAGCAGAATTCAGCAAAGGCCATCTCAGTAGTTTTCTCATGACAGAGTCCATTTAACACACATTTAATGTACAGAATATACTTTTTACTTGGTAAGGTAGTGCAAACAGGAAGAGGACACACGACCACTCAATCCACCAAAACTATGGAAGGAGGGTGTGAATTAATGAGACTTTAGTTGTACCTCAGATAGCAAACACCATTAAAGCAAAAACAACTATTTAATGCAAAAATTAAAACAAATATAATCCATGAATATAAAGTATAAACAATCGAACACTGTTTTTTGAAAATCATCATAAATTATATCATCCCACAAAGTATCATTGTCAATATATGGCACTTTACATCAATGCGTTTCACAATGTAATTGCTTCCTCAGGATCCATGCCACACTACAAATAAAGGCTGGGCCACAATATTAAATAAATATCATCCATGAATAAACACAAACTCTTAGTGCTCTGGACAGATATATCAATATAAAATAACCAGAAAAACATAATAAACCTGTCCCCTAAATGGCAAATATGAGAGAAAAAAATGGTGTTTTTGCTCTATGTGGTACAAGCAAAGTCACATTTATTCACAGCCTCCTTGCACCCTATTTTTGGGCTGTCTTCTTCCTTTGTTCAATAATAGGGATGGTACCCAAAGAAGAAATGTTATGTATCATGCGAACCCTCCCTTTGGTCTCATTTGGCACTAAGGTAGTGCAAATAGTAATTACATTCATTGTGCAAGAAACCCTACCAAGCTTTCCCTTTGAGTCAGATAAGTTCATATATCATTTCGGATCTATGCATTATTGAACTTTGGTGTTATTATTGCTGTTTTGCTGCACTATTGTAAAAGCCTTATAATGTTTATGCAGATAAATACCCAACATAACTTTGAGCATTCTGAAGGTGTTTCCCCCAGGAACCAGATTCAAGCTGTCATTTCTTTTTAGTTTGTTACAAAACGAAAGCAAGCACCAGGTTGCAAAAGGCAATGCACACTCATTCCTTTCTTTCAGGATTTCATTCACAAGTCCTAATGCAATTAAAAAAAAATATATGTAACATTTACATATGGTGTGAAAGTTGTTGCTATCATACCAGGCACTTACTCAGAGTTGGACTGTGACTGTTTCATGATAAAGGAACTTGAATCCTCTGACGTATGATGCAGTTTTGGGGAGGAAGGGACAGATGAATCTGTAAGTTCCTCAATATCTGAGTGGGAAGATGGAGCTTTGTTGGATTTTTTCTTGCCAAAGGCTTGTTTAAAAGAACTTCTCAGCTACAAAAGAGAAGGTGAACAATTAAAACTTTAGAGAAGTGAAAACTAAATCACAGCCTTTTGTGTTATGATAGGTAAATAATAAAACATAAATCTGTGTCTGTACTTTTATCATGTTCTGTTTTGTAGAACAGTAAACAGAGGGTATATTAACATTGATATCAGCCCCTGCTCCAGAGGAGCTTACAATCTAATTTTCTTTTTAACAATTAGCAAGTTTCTCCAGCAGCTAATTACGGTAACCTAACAGTATGTTTTTGAACTTTTTATAATAGTATTGACAAATGCACCATTTTAAGAAATCAGGTAACAGTACAGATTAATAAGCTATTTCACCTGAACTGAAATTTAAACAAGATCAAGTACATTCTCCAATAGCTGAAGGGTTAGGAGTGTCTCCTCATCTACCATGTAAGCTAATTCCCTCCCATCCTCCATTAAGTGAAGTTGTAAAGGGGTCAGATGGACCAAGTTACTTCTGAGAGTGAAGAAACCAGTGGGGTAGTGTGAGAAAAATCATAAGCCAGGCTTTAAATAATGAAAAAAAACATGAGCTAGACCACATTTGAGAAGGTCAAATTAGGCCTATTATTTAATAAAATATATACCATGAATAACTTTCAACTCAATTGATAAATTCAAGTGCTAGTCCTCCAAAACATTAAAACACAAAATGAATCACAAAAACAGTTCCCCGTCTCTATATCAATACATGTATTTAAATAATTACAATTCAAAATCAAACACAATTATATAGACCTACTGTTCCACCAAATACCTTGATTATGAGGACTCTACAATACCACTAATTAATGAGGAATAAATAATATGGTTAAATACGCATTTGTTTAATTAACAAAGGCTAAGGAGAACCCCTTTACCAGTTTACTTTGGAGGAGGGGAAGTTTAAAAAAAAAATTATAATAAACACAATGGATCACACAGGTGGATTACCAGTGGAGCTATTTTTTTCCAAAAAATGCCCAACAGGTCACTCAGGCTCCAAATGTTGTCATGTGTGGGTGTCAAGGACAGCACACAAACATATTATATGCTCCAGAAGTATTATGTATAACTCCACAATGGTCCTGAGCTACTAATCCCAGAATGCATTCACACTGCACACAGGTATGTCATTTTATTTACTTGGTTGACGTGTTCCTAATTTGTTCCTAATGCATTTATCCTTTAATCTAAAAAAAAATAAAATTGCATACTGGCACATACTATTCATTGGCAACATAAAAGATCTTTAAACATTTTTTTTTTTACTATTCTTCCTCTAGAGGTACAAAATGCAGACATCAGCGTAACAGAAATAACAGTTTAAAGGCAGGGAGATCTAAAACATAAAGCCATGCACAAGAGATTCCTGGCAAATGGAGAATCACAGTGTGAAACTGAAGAAGAGTGTGAATACCCAAAGAGTAAGCTGTCTTCTCCTAAATCTACTACAAATGAATTGAAATACCATATAGGTAGACCCAATGACAAAATCTGGAAGTCTTTGTATAATGAACATATAAATAATACACAGAGCGAGAATGACTTTCTATTCTTACAGTAAACTAAAATAAAGCATCATTTTAGTTACCGTACATTAGTACTATAATGCATTCATTTTCTGCTCAGAATAAGCTCAACACATACTGTGTAATGATACCATTTCATTATTCAGACAACCATATTCTAAAAATGACAAAGTAAGCTGAAAGCATCTACCTGCATACACCTGTGTTTGGCTCATGAAATTAGTCATTAGATATTACTCTGACTGTGCTTAGGTTTTGGTATAATATTACCTCCCTCCGCCCATATTCTCTTCACTCTGATTACAGAGAAGTCTTCAGTGCCATTAACAGAACAAGGCAAAAAGGGGCCAATTTGAAGTATTAAAAGGTTGTAAATATTTTAGGAAGAGCAATCAGGTGATTTTTAGAAACATTAAAGAGCAATATTGTACTTAATCACAGAGCTGTTATTGACCGCATTTCAACCCTACTGAAAATGCAGTTTCTATTGAATCTGAAATATTAAGGAACACACTAGGCTATTTCTTTAAAAGAGGCTTATGATGAGTCTTGCAGACTGATCATTTCATGCCGTCTCTTACTATAGCCAGTACTTACTATGTGTGTATAATGTGTCTGTGTGCTAAAAGTATGATTTTAAACTACATGCAATGCACGATTATTATTGCCATTAGAAAAATATACAGGAAAAGACAGGAATTGAAGCATTGCCAAAGCTAGGGCATCCATGCCAGGCAGGTTGGTTAAAGAACAGCATGCCAAGGCAGTGAAGATTTTATATTCACCTCACTTTTACTGAAGTTCACCTTGTGATAAGTAGAAATAGAATGGGATAACATGACGTTAGTACCTGTGTCATATAAGTGTCTATAAGACCTAGATTTTCACATTTTATACATGCAGCATAACTCTTTTGTAACTAAATAATGCAAAAAGTTGTTCTAGCTACAAAGTAGGTATGTCAGAACAAATTTTAATGCATTCCAAATGTGAGAATTTGAAATGAAAACAATAAACTGGTAAATCTCAGTTTCACAAGTGCAGCTTGAATATATATGGTGGGCGCTTATGATAGAAGTCCTTATAAGCAGTATAATGACAAGCAAAACTAGTTCTAATATGTGCTTACAAACCAGAAAACACCTGCACCCCTAGATTATTACATACATAAAAACCACTAGTAATGAGACAAATTATGTAAAGTTCTAGAGCAATTAATTGAATTTCCTTTAACTTCTTAACCACTACTACTGGTATGTAAAGCTAAAAGGCATAGGAGTTAAAACAGACTTTGAAGTAAAATGTGAGGTCTATTTCTATTGTCCAGACCCCCCAAACCCTGTACAAATTGCCTGCAAATAAAACATGCAAACTATGTCTGAAGTTGAATCTTTATTCCAGCAAAATCATGGAGAATACAGTGCAGCCCAAATTTTGAAAGAAGATGCTCTTGCAATGGACTGCATTGTTTCCTATTGAGATATGGCCTCCTCTGCCTTACCCAGGGATGGAGACATCATGTCCAGCAATGCAGAAGATGGGAGTAAGGTAAGTATAAAATCTAAGTTTTTCTGTACAGGTAAATTTTGCAAATGCTACACAGGCAATTTGTACAGGGTAAAGGCCTGATATTTTAAGTGGACCTTGTATTGTACTGCAAGGTTTACTTTTAGTATGAAAAGTACACAATGTATACACAGAGGATTCTCTCCTTTTGAGATAAGTATATAGTTTAAAGGTAAATCCTATTCCATATTTAATGCTAAGACTGAGTGTTCCTGACAAGGGTTACTTTTCATCTAGGCTAGTAAGAGGGTGCTATCTGAATTTTTAGCAGAATTAGGTGCCCCTAGAGTAGAAACTTGAATGGAATATGAATATGCAGGAAAAGTTATACCTAATCCCACCTATTCCATATCCCAGATTTATGTAAACTAACCGTACTTTGACACTTTAGTAAGTTTGCCGTTTTTACTGCATTGCACGATATATCCTAGAACTAATTTACCAACTGCCTAATTTTACCGCTATGTACTAAAAAAAAGTGTTGTGAAAGATACTAAAACAATTTTTTTTTCCAAATCTAGGACTGCACCCACAACCTAAATGGTACTATAACCTAAATTCCCAGCTGCCCTGTATGCTGCAATATAAATACTTACCCAATTTTTCTTCTTCTTTTTTTTGGAATCAGCATCATTAACACTACCAATGCTAGAATGACTTGCAGCACTGTTGATACTGGAAACGCTTTCAGAAGAATGTTGTCTTTTGATCTTCATATCTGCTAACAAATGTATGAAAAGTTCAATAAATGACTTAAATATATACATAACATCGACTTAAATCAAAGAGGGAAAGTTGTAAAACAAAGTAAAGCATGAAGAAAAAAAAAATGGTATGGTTGTGGTGTCTTTATCCTTTCCTGATCAAAACTAAAGTCAGCACTATCTTAGAACACGATTTTAATAAAACCCTGCTTTGATTTTTAACTTAGGCCAGAAGGATATATATATATATATACATACAGCCCTGACAAAGCCACGTGCTTGGTGGCGTAACGTGTGGGGGCAGAGCCTAGTGCCGGATTGTTTTGAATTGCAAATCGCTATTTTACTGCTTCTATCATGTGAGTGACACTCTGGAATTATTTTATGTGGAATTAAAACAGTATTACACTACGGGAGATGTCCTCTGCTCTTTCTCTATGTGGAGTTAAGCTGAGAAGAGACCCTTTTTATACTGCCATTGAAGGGGTTCCTGTCATCAGCTCTCTGCTGCCACCTAGAGCATCGTTTTAGAATTACCATGCTTGGTTGACCTGTATTAATTTATGGGTCCACAGAAGGAGGTGAGTGGCCATCCATATATATTATTAGGCAGCGGAACATTGAGTTAAGGTGGAGCACCATGTTTTTCAAATAGACTATTTATCCGGAGCACATCGTAGTGATTCTTCACCATTCAAGCGCCTTATTTGATTTTCACCATTCAAGCACTTTATATGTATATTTATATTTCATACTTTGATTGAACTATCACGTTTGAATCTGTTTATGAACTATTTTGGCTATATGAGTTAGCGCAACACTATTTATGTATGTTTTATGTTTTCAAGTGTGGGATCACCTTTTAAATGTTATTGCAGCGGCTCTATTTTATTAGCTTATTCACTAGTTTGATAGCGCACATTGTTTATTTTTTTTTTGTTATATATATATACAGGATATATGACAATTTAATTGCTGGAATGTCAGGGCGTAGCACTATGGAGGCGAGTCACACAGCCATTACTACTCAAGCGTGTGCTGAAATGTTTTAACTTGCACTCGCTTGGGTCACAGACCAGTTTACTCATTGTTTGCTGAGTAGTATAAAAAAATAACACATGTATGCATTGTGCTGTTGGCAGAAATTTAGTGACAAGAATCTGGAGCAGCAGATCAAAATCAAAGATTGTGTGAAAATGTGCATCCAAAAGTGTGAGTAAAACTTTAGCTCTGTTACAGCAAGCTTATGGTGAACATTCAATGAAGAAATCAAGTGTTTTTGAATTGCATAGACAGTTTAAGATTGAAGACTTGCAGAATTGAGCATGAACAGGGAAACAATGTGGCAAATTCTAATAGAGGAGCTTGGGAATGAAAACGATTCCCATGAAGATGGTGCCTCGAGTCTTGACAGAAGATCCAAAAGAATGTCATCAAATTTAATTCAATCTATTGAAGAATTCAGAGGTGCTTGATAGGTTTATTACCAGTCAATTCCGGGACTTAAATTGTCACACCTCATAAATACACTATATACAGTGTATTGATATATATAGATATATATATCTATATATATACACAGTTGTGTTCAAAATAATAGCAGTGTGTTGAAAAAAGTGAATAAAGCTCAAAATCCTTCTAATAGCTTTTATTTCCATACACACAAATGCATTGGGAACATTACAAATTCTATTCCAAATAAAAACATGAAGAAAAATATATCAAATTTGAGTTGTTCCTCTAAAAAAATTGAAGAAAAGTGAATATTAGACTGTTCAAAAAAATATCAGTGTTTGTATTCTTCTTTACAAACTCAAACATTCACTATATAAACTGAAAAATTTTGAAGATTTTGCTTTCCTTTGAATCACTTAATGAATATTTAGTTGTATATCCACTGTTTCTGAGAACTGCTGTACATCTGTGTTGCATGGAGTCAACCAACTTTTGGCACCTGTGAACAGGTATTCCAGCCCAGGATGATTGGACTACATTCCACAGTTCTTCTCTATTTCTTGGTTTTGCCTCAGAAACTGCATTTTTGATGTCACCCCACAAGTTTTTTATTGGATTAAAGATCCGGGGATTGGGCTGGCCACTCCATAACGTCAATCTTGTTGGTCTGGAACCAAGATTTTGCACATTTACTGGTGTGTTTGGGGTCGTTGCCTTGTTGGAACATCCATTTCAAGGGCATTTCCTCTTCAGCATAAGGCAGCATGACCTCTTCAAGTATTCTGATGTATTCAAACTGATCCATGATCCCTGGTATGCGATAAATAGGCCCAACACCGTAGTATGAGAAACATCTCTATATCATGATGCTTGTGCAACCATGCTTCACTGTCTTCACAGTGTACTGTGGCTTGAATTCAGTGTTTGGGGGTCGTCTGACAAACTGTCTCCGGCCACTAGACCCAAAAAGAACAATCTTACTTTCATCAGTCCACAAAATGTTGCGCCATTTCTCTTTAGGCCAGTCAATGTGCTCTTTGGCAAATTGTAACCTCTTCAGCACATGTCTTTTTTTCAACAGTGGGACTTTGCGGGGGCTTCTTGCAGATAGCTTGGCTTCACATAGGCGTCTTCTAATTGTAACAGTACTCACAGTTAACTTTACACCTTCTTTGATCTTCCTGGAGCTGATTGTTGGCTGAGTCCTTGCCAGCCATTTTGGCTATTCTTCTATCCATTCGAATGGTAGTTTTTCGCTTTCTTCCACGTCTTTCAGGTTTTGGTTGCCATTTTAAAGCATTTGCAATCATTTTAGCTGAGCAGCCAATCATTTTCTGCACTTCTTTATAGGTTTTCCCCTCTCCAATCAACTTTTTAATCAAGGTATGCTGTTCTTCTGAACAATGTCTGGAACGACCCATTTTCCTCAGAATTTCAGAGAGAAATGCACTGTAACCAGCATGTACAACATTTGCTGCCTTCCTTCCTTAAATAAGGGCAATAATTGCCACCTGTTTTTCAAAGAATGAATGACCTCACTAATAGAACTCCACACTGCTATTATTTTGAACATGCCCCTTTCAATTAGTGATTCAATTACACAGAATCAGCAGCATGCATGTCATGACTGTTGGGTCTGTTGGATTTCTATTACTCTACTACACCTCCTAGTAAATTATTTGCCATGTAGAAATATAATTTCTACCAAAAACAGTGATTGATCAGGTTAGTGATGTCTGACTGCTATTATTTTGAACACAACTGTGTATATATATATATATATATATATATATATATATACACACTGTATAAATATACACACATACACACATATACAGATAGATATAATTTTTTTTTAATACTGTAATTGTAATTACTATTTCAATACTGTAATTAAACAGAGGTATACTGCCATCTTCAGGCTACAGTGTCACTTGCAGTGCTATCTGCAGATTGAAGGCTTATTTCATGAAAGGTGCCTCCCAGCTTGCACGTAATCAATATTATTAGTTCTTGATCATTAGTGGAACCAAAACTATCGATGACAGCTGGGTCTAAAAGGTAACATCTGCACACAATGCTGGCTACAACATGTCAAGGGAGACATAGATTAACATTCCCTCAACATAGGTCATCATGCAGGGCATGTTTATCTACAGATTGCAGGTAAGAGGGGGCTAAGGCCTTGTGGGCATCATTATGAGATGTTACACTGGCCCACCCACTGCATTATGATGAGAGATTAAAAAGTATTCTCTTTGCCATGCTAAAACTGAAAAGTATTTAATTCTGGCATATGTTGCCATTTTTGCTAACCTTTTCACACTACCTTGATTGAGAAAATATTAGCAACTAGATACATTTATTTAGAAGATTTAAAACATGGTTGGTTCAACCCAAGGATGCTCATCCATAGCTGAAATATCAGTTTTAGATAGATTTAGCCTGTAAATAAAAGGATCAGAGATCTGCTACTTAGTCCCATCTCACATTATTTCTTTCCTTGCTCATTCTGCTAGGCAGACAGGATGTCAGAAGATTTCCTGTCTGGTCTGCGTCAGAATCACCATGTAGATGTAAAGGTAATAAATTAAGGTAGTAGTAGATGTCTGAGCCTTTTTCCTTAAGCTTAGAAATGCAATGACATACAGTATAGTTAAGTAAGAGAACTGTTCAAATCAACTGCAAAAACAAAAATGTATAACCTGAGTTCATGCAATATAAGGTGAAAAAGACAATGCTTTGAAAATGATAAAAAAAAAATCAATTTCTTTGACATAGGGTTCACCCTCCAACAATTAGCAAAAAACAACACTGTCACAACCTCTTATACCTAACACATACCCTCATCAACATGGGTCAAAAGTGGTTGCAGTACCATATATGCAAAGAAATAACAGCATTTGGACATTCATTTCAAAGATAAGTATACTCATGCTAAAATATGAGAGCAAATTCTTACTGTGTTATCTTGAGCTAGTTCCAGCAACAGTGATACGAGTCACCATTCACACAGCCTTTATACACACATTCATTTGTGAAGTGCTGCTTCTTTGTCAACCAATCAGAAATGAAATCTGCTATCTGTAATTTTGCTTAAAGAAGACGTCTGATGGGTAGTAAGTGTGTGTAGCACACCCTTATACCCAGTGGTGTATTTAGGTTTCGTGTTGCCCTAGGCAAAACAAAAATCGGCTCCCCCTCCCACCACCACCACGGAGAGACCCTGACACCGACCAATATCCCCCTCCCATCAAGAAGCTCGTACCCTCTCTCAGATCCCACTTGGTCCCCATGCTGCATGTGTCTCTTCTTCCATCCCTTCTTTTGAGGGGCAGCGTTGCCCCCTGAAAATTGCTGCTGCCCCCCCTGAAAAATGCCGCCCTAGGCAAATGCCTTGTTTGCCTGGTGGTAAATACACCCCTGCTTATACCATTCCAGTGTTAGTACTACCACATTATATAAATGAATCATCATTAAAGAAATACTGTACATATCACAATGGATTGCCAATCCTCTTTGAAATGATATCTGCTACATTAAAAAATAAATTTTAGTGAACAATATTGCATGATTAAAGCAAATACCTCTATGAATGTGATCAGAACCATTCAATGCTCCTTGGATTGCAGCCTGCGCTGCGGAATTCTGAGCCTTCAGCATCTCTATTGTCTCTCGAAGCTCAATGAGCTCTGACTCCTAAAACATGAGAATTAATGAAAACATTTATAATCAGTCTTAGTTGATAAAGCTGTAAAACAAGACATGTATATATTATCAGTAAACAATGGCTTGCACGTGACCTCCTGACATTACTGCAACACCAGCCAAAATGAGTGTGCAGTAAAAAGGGCAGCCTTGTAATATTTCAACAATTATATAAAGGCTTGTAAATAAGTGGTCTGAAAGCAGCAAGGTCATCCAATCATTCTTGGGTGCATAATTACTGGTCTATGTAATAGCAGGATGAGGCTTCAAGCTGGTATGCTGTTCAGTCATTCTACGTAATTCTTTGTAGCAGCCATTAGACAGAACTATATGTAATAATAGGAATGTTCGCTGCACTCTGTTGTAATATGATAGAAATCAGAATTTATGTTGCATGGTAGTTGTTTTGCCATTATACTGGTATTTTTTTATGTTTGTATGATAAATATATATTATAAATATACAAGTAAATAAAATTAAAAAGTATGTATAGTCAAAACTTATTTTTTTTTAGATTTTGTTTAGAGTTGAGAATGGTTAAAACTCCTGTTCCTTTTTTTTGGCTATGCCTAGTGGAGGAGATTTCCTTTCAGATCGTGTCCCACAGATGCAACAGGAAGCAAGAAGAAATGTCTACAAAATGATTCCCTTCTTAACAGTTGTGCTTTGTTGGGGGGCAAAAAATATCCTTATCAAACAAACAGTAAGTCTCTGTAATTCTGTATAGAGATCCTCCAAGTCTGCCTTCATTCAATACCAACAGATTATGAGGCTGTATGCAGACAAGAGAAAAGAAGCAGAGAAACCTCTAAGGCACCTTTCACACTGATCCTCCTCAAAAACATATGCATATTTGACACCTTTTTTACTGTGCTTTTGGTGCGTTTTTCTTAAGGACATGTGACTTAAAAACTGCTCCAAAATGTTCCTCGGGGCATTTTCTATAGATTTCAGTGGGAATAGGAATTTTTGGTGCTGTTGTCTAACTGAACAAACATGCTTCAAAAATACTGCATGCAAGATTTTTTACACCGCCACGGAATTGCAACACCCCAGTGTGAAAATATACATAGACATACATAGTGAACCATTTTTCATGAGCTTTTCTTGAGCTTTTTTTTTGACACAAAAGCTCTTCAAAAACTCCTCAGTGTGAAAGCAGCCTAAGAACATCAGCTTTGAGACATATGGCCTTAAGTAATAAATTCAAAACATGCTCACTTGCACTATATGTTGGGAGAACCACCCTATGGTGCATCATGGCTTTAAATACTTGGTAAGTATATGGCTTTTAGTTACTCAGTCATCCTACATGTTGTTGGCCACTTTCAATAAACCACTTAAAGTTGAGTAGATTATTGAAAGTAAACAACATGCGGGATTACTAAATGTCCAAAACCTTATCAAGCTTTCCAAATCGTGATACACCATAAGGTGGTTCTCCCAGCAAATAGTGAATGTCAGCATGTTTTGAATTGTTGTTGAAGGCTATATGTCTCATGGCTGATGCTCTTAGAGGGGTTTCTGTTTTTTTATCTTCTCCTTAGACAGTTGCCACCTAAACAAGTGCACCCATTGAACGATATACCCTTGGTTTTCGTTCTGGTGACAACTGTAACATTTTGTATTTCCCATCACTGTTTGTCTTAGTGATAATGGCTACCAGGACAAAAAAGTGAGTAAATATACTGTACCTAATAGTTAAGCAGAATGCAAAGAATACAGTGGATCCAATCTTCCCTATGTTATGCAAAACCAAAAAACATTTTTGACTATATACCTGATACAAATTTAAAGGAGAAGTTCATTTTTCATAACATGTTACATGTTACACCCATATCCAGGGTGTAATATGTAACGTGTTACTAAATAAGCTGCCCCTAAACCCTCCCGAGCCTCTGTTGTGACAGCAGTGTGGGATCTTCTCTCTGCACCCACTGTCACAATTTTAAAAATACACGCCCGCGCAGAGCTCCTCCCACCCGATTGTGTCATTCATTCACAGAGTTCTGTGAATGACAGAACTACAACTACCATCATCCATTGCAGCAGACAGCTTTTAGTTCTCAATGAACTACCAGGGCACTGGTGAGCACTCTAGTAGTTCATTGATTCTTCTTGTATGAGGTATGAGCAGACAGCTACACTGCCAGTCTGCAGGAGCCTGAGATTGCACCCGCAATATGCTGATCACGGGTGCATTGCTTTACAGGTTCCTAATAAAAACAACATTAAATGCCCATTTCTTACCTGCAAAAATATGTGCATTTTTTTCTAGAGAATAGGAGTGAAGGAAAATTTCCCCAACAGAGCAAGGAAAGTAAAAGGTAATAGTAAATAAATAAGAAGGGTATTTACCAATCTCTACTTTAATCTAATCAAAAGTTTTGGGTTGTCTTGTACTTTATTCAAATGCTCAACCATTATTTAGCAACAAGCTGCAACTAAGCCAAAGCCATCACTAAAATGTTCATACAAAGTAAATATGAATAGGTACAGATAAATGTGAGCCAAAGAAAGCAACTGTTGATGAGAAAAAAACACGGAATAAGAGAATAGCAAGAAGTGTTCACCTGTCTCAGGCTTTAGGTAATATATGCCAGTAAAGAATGAAATATTCCCCTTTTTCTCATACTAAGCATTCAAAAACAAAGCATAGACATCAATTTCTCTATTTGCTGGACTTTTCTAATGGATCTGAATATCACATATTTTAGATTGCAAAACATAACCTACTGAAAGTGTTTGCTTAAATCGAACAATTGATCAAAGTCACATCACGCTATTGTGCTTTATATAACTTTACAAATTCCATTGCTGTATAAGATTTAGTGTTCTAGTGCTTTAGAGCCCTTCTCAACCTACCTTTTGTTCCGCTGTCATTGTCAAGCTTTGCAGTCGTCCAGTCATATTTCCTAAGCTCTTTTCAAAAGCCGCCACTAAATGAGACTGGAAAGAAGCAAAGAAAAAAATCATGAAACAAGCATCAAACGCTCACATTTATGGCACATAAACCAGCACTCAGCACATTTATTGAGGTAAGTAACTGTTTTTTTCTTTCTCATAGCAGTGATTTTGGTCATCTTCAATTACTGATAAATGAAAATACTCCAGCCTAGATCATGAAACGACATAAACAACATGACGTGCTTAACATTTATAGGCATCACTTCATCATCCAATGTTTTATTATGTTTTGACCATAACTTTTATTTATTTTTTTTTATTTACAAATATTTTACTTTTCCTAATAAAAATGACTGAGGCTTTCTGTATGAATACTTTAGACAGAAGTTTGCATGGAAAATGTACTGCTTTCTTGTTATAGCTGTTACTGAAAAAAATAAGAGAAAAGCTGCCCAGATAGTCATTATAAAGAAATGTATTACCGGGGCTGTGGCACGCACAACGAGAATAGACTAGACACCTTTTTATATATGACAAGCCTTTAATTTGCCTTTGTAAAGATAGCTTCATTTTTATTTAGGCCACTCCACAATGTCAATCAAAGGCCTGCTTCCATTGAAGGTTTTGCCAAGTTGCCGACACCTAATGATATACATCAGATAGGAAGAGGGATGCAGCTGCTGGGGGCAATCTGACAGAGAGGAGAAAACACAGCTGACAGTGATATTTGTGTGAGCAGGAAAGAAAAGGAAGGACCAGAGTGAGTCACAACAGTAGAAGCCTGTGTAAGTAATCCTAAGTTATCCTACCCTTTCCCATTCCAATTCCTTTATAGTTTTAATGGTATGTGCTTGCCTACATAATGCCTAATCTCTTATCTTTAATAATTTTTTTCATTGAGCTGTCGCAATCCCTTTGAGAACTCAGACAGTCACAGTGATAATAAAGTATAGATGTTTTTTTCCAATGTAAGTATAAATTAAAGTGTGTAACCTGAATTGTAGCTGACAACTGTGGAATTTCTTCCTATGTTGCTGCTGTATTATCTTTCTGCAGTGTGGATAGGGTTAAACGGAATACTCATTAATGCAGAAGTGCAGCAGCCATCTTAAAGGAGACCACTTTGTAATGCTCATCTATGGAATGTCTCCAGTGCAGGGGGTAGTCATCTTGGCTGGGTCTGGAGGAGGACAGCGAACTGGGCTGCTAGAGAAAGGGAGCTTGGTTGTACCACCAGCCTGAACAATGTGGGGAGGAAGCCATTGTGGGGACCATGTGCTGCTGCAACCATTTTCTGTGCGAACAGCTGAGATAGAGCATCACAAGACTACAGTAAAGGGGGAATAGTGGTGTGTGTTCAGAGTTCAATGGAGATATTTTATACTGTGCTGCCCAGGAGAAGAGAGCTGATCAGAGACTTCTGCTGCCACCATACTCTGTACATGTGAGGGGATGGTCCTGGAAGCCAGTGGGGGAAGAGACTGACCTGCTGTTTCCCTCTGCTGGATAAACATGTCCCTGCCATAGCTGACAACAATCAGGTGAAAACCCAGAGAAACAAAGACTGAGAACCTTCTCCCTGGGAGGGTATGATTTAAATGCCTATTGAGACCAGAATGTACTAAAGAGCCCTCCTGCCACTTGTATGGAAGGAGAAGAGGGACTGTCTCAGCAGGATTAAAAGAGATCAATAGCAACTTCTATCCCTGTCTGACTTGAACTGGACTTTTACTTAGTATCTGGAGACCCAGAAGAGGGTGCTCTGGGACTGGAAAGAGACTAACATCATAAATTAATCTGTTGTCTGCTAGGAACTGTTGTTCTTTCTTCAAAGGCTCCAACTTTGCTGGCCAATGATTTTTCAACAATCACTAGCCAGTGAGATAAAACGGGCTGTTATAGCAAGTTAGGACTGTTTTTATGCAATGTTGCTAGGTAAATCCAGTTCAGTTCTGTTAATAGCTGTTATTCAGAATACTGCAGGTGTTTAACCATTTCTCTGAGCGTAACATTATTGTCTTATTAATGGTTTGTATAAGTGCACTTGCTAAGCCTCTCTTCTATTAGACTTTACTTGGCCTAATAAATGCTTTAAAATACCTCAAGGTGTGTTGGTAAGTGCTGGGTGAGTAAGGTGTGTCAACCTCAGGTGTGCAGAGAAATCACACAATAATTCAGCATCTCCTTTCGGGGTAGCACTACAAGTGCAGGTTTTTCGCTGTTAACTGGCCACACACACCATAGAATCTGACTGAACCATTTTATTTAGATCTACCAGCTATTATACAGCTATTATACAGTGCAAGAGATTACTTGACTAGAAATAAATGTGTAGATATTTTAGAAAGGGCTTCTACTGCATAGTTCTGGTTGATCTATAGAAGACTGCATAGAGAATGTATATTCAGATTGCAAGGTCAGATGGCATGGCCAGTTTTAGACTCTTGTCACCCAAACGGTTGACCCTGAATTGCTGCAGTGCCTGGGCAGTAACATCACTTATAGACTTACAATGGGGATCCATTGTCAGCTGTACCTCCTCTCCCCTGAAGTTCTCACTGGGAGCCAATCATGCCTGGACCGAAGTGCCCAGGGATAGGTAAGTATACACATTTTTCCCCTACAGGCTAGTTTGTATATGACTTAGAATATTAGTGGGAGCAGATTTAAAGTGGTTCTAAAGCCTCAAGGTTTTTTTTACCTCAATTCATTCTATGCAGTAAAGTAAAAGACCTACTGTGTAACAGAATGCCCCCTACCCCCCCTCCCCAGACGTACCTGAGCCCCCAGTGCAATCCAGCGCTGTGCATGAGAGCTGTGGCTCTCCTGGCTGTGTCTCTCCTCACTGGGCAGATAGAGAAAAACCACGGAGCCGAGCCTAGTTGTCTGTGTCAATGGACGAAGCAGCAGGACTCAGGAGCAAACCTGAACGTGTGCCCCCATGGCCGTTGGCTTCCTATTGGGGGCACTAGACAGAAAGCCAAGAGCACTGGTGGGGGACCCAAGAAAAGGAGGATCTGGGCTGCTCTGTGCAATTCTATTAAATCTGCTCTAATTCTAGAGCAGGTAAATACAGACATGTTTTTTTTTCCTTTACAACTACTTTAAGATTAGATAGTATTAGACTGGACTTTCACTTTAAAAAAGCAATGGTACTGCCATGATTAAGACATACTTCTCTTTTCACCAGTCCAGAAACACCTTCTCTATACATATGTTTTTTAAAGCTACCTTTTAGGGATTATTTAATTTTACAAAGTGAAGCATACTCACATTTGCAGACAACTGGGATGTCAGCGTTGCAACTTTTTCTTGTGAAGCTACCAGCTCCCGTCGCAGCTTTTGTATCTGCTAAATGATTATATGCAAGAACATAATTATGTAATAAACAGAATCTGTACCTTTTATCTAATTTATTTTGGTGATCAAAAATATAGAAGCTCACAGGGAAATTAAAGAAAGCCTTTAGTAAAAAAAAAAACACAGGCTGCTACTGATCTCCTGAAAATACTAGGTGCATGGCTGTCTCTGGCTTCAATACTTTCTGAGTCACTGACCCACAACAAGCAAGCAGATCAGTAGTCATATTTCCTTATCTTTTATTTTTTCCAGGTCAGTGCGCAGAATATCAAAGCCATAGCATCAGTGTAACAGGCAGGGAACTTGTATTTTCAGGTGGAGATTGAACATTGACAGCCTTCGTCTGTAAAGGCTTTCTTTAGGGTACAGTTGATAAAGAGTTAATTCTATTCTCTGGCCATTCACCTAATAATTCTGAGGTCACTTACTGAATGACTGCAATGTGCTGTTCAAATGGCCTATGTAAGCTGATATACACACACTTCCTAGAAATGAAAGCCTATGAAAAGGTACAAAGCCAAGCAGCACATCCTGCACTTTTGTTCCTTAAAGTGTTACTAAACCCAGGACTCTGCATCCGCTATATCTGGTCTCCCGCAGTACCCAGGACATGGAAATGCAATTGTTTTAGTAAATATATACTGCTAAATACCTTTTCTCATCAGCAGTTAAAACAGTCTTGTGACTTCTATCAGTGTCCCGAAGAGCACTAGTTAAAGCTTGTAGAAAGAGTTTTCATTCTCCCCTCATTGTCCTATGAGTCTGCATAATCCTCTGTCTGGACAGTGCTGGTTGGCCCTGTGCTGATCACATGCACTCCCCCAAGAAAAAAAAAACTCTCTAGCAATATACAACAAACTTAGCATGTGCAGCTTGCCCTCAAGGCTCTGTTCTATCAGCAGATGAATTTGGGACAATAGGAGAAGGGGAGGATCAGAGAAGACAGGATCAATCATCCTTTTTACACAATGCAGAAGATTAACCCCTTAGGTTACACAGTGACTATAACAAGCATGCTTTACTGAATATACAGACTGATTTTACTGTTGTGGGTTTAGTAACACTTTAACATGATAACCCCCCTGTTTACTGAATATACAGCTTCTTTATCTTTTAATCCCTGTTCAAGTTACAGTTTCAGCTGTTGCCATGACTGCTGCCCCAGGTTTGCTGTTTCAGGGTGACTCCTTTATCTTGCTGTGTCCTATGGAGTCACCCTTGCATGGATGCAGGGACTAGAGATGTGTCTGCATCTCTAGACTGCACTGTCCACTTAGCTCTTTCCTGTCAAGACCAGAAGTTCAAGGAAGCAGCACTGAGAGAGCAGGAGACAGCAACATTGAAATGTGTAAACTTCTAAGAATTCTAAGACATAGTTTACTGGGGAATGTTTATTTTTTATGTATTCTTTTTTTTCAAGGAACAGTGCTAGACATAGTTACAATGTAATATAAATTAAAGTGGTTGTAAAGGCTGAATGTTTTTTACCTCCTGTGTGCAGCAGTGCCCCCAGCCCCCTCAATACTTACCTGAGCCTCGTCGCGATCCAGTGATATGAATGACAGCCTCGGCTGTCCCTCGTCTCTGCCTCCTCATTGGCTGAAACAGCAAGTGGGAGACATTGGATCCTGCTGCTGTCAATCACAGCCAGTCAGCCAATGAGGAAAGAGGGGGTGGGGCCAAGCCGCAGCTCCATTTGTGAATGGATACACGGAGCAGCGGGTGCCCCCATAGCAAGCTGCTTGCTGTGGGGGCACCCAACAGACAGGAGGAGCCAGGAGAGCCTGTGTGGGACCCAAGAAGAGGAGGATCCAGGCTGCTCTGTGCAAAACCACTGCACACAGCAGGTAAGTATAGACATGTTTGTTATTTTACAAAAAAGAAAAAATGAACCTTTAGAATCACTTTAAATTTATAGGTTATGATATCAAGACAAGAGTCTTTGTTATAACAATCTGCAAGAAGTAAGTCATAAATATATACAACGATTCTGTCATTTAGTGTCCGGAATTTAACAAAGAAAAAATAAATCTTTTAGTATGTAATAGTCACCTTGGGTGGGATGAAATGGATTGCAAACGGGTCAGACACTGTATCGGAGAGGTCTATATTGGAAAGGGGAAGGGGGGCAAAAATTAAACCAAAAAAGAGGAGGAGGGAGGGGAAAAATACAGTAATTAGAAGAGAAGGGAAAAATAATGAGAGCAAGGTGGGCTGTGGGAGAAGTGTTAATGTAAAGGAAGGGGAGCAGGTCAAGTGGGAGACACATGACTCCTGGATACAGGGAGGTAATAGGGCAAGGTTTAGAAGCAAGATCTGCAATCAGTTTTGATCCAGGTGTGATAACACTGTATACTATATGTATTCATTTGGCAATGCTTATTTTATTGTGCTTAATATGTTAAGCTAAAATACAGTAATATTGAGTATTTAATACTACACAAAAGAGACCCTGTCGTGAGACCTTCATTTCAAAAACCTATTATAATATATGTGCAATTAACCTTTTTTCTGCAATTTACCTGTAAAAAGCCTGCCTTGTGTAGATACCTAAAAGCCCTGAAACAGCGGCTGGGTGCCACCATCTTGAATGTGATGTCAGCAAGTGACATTCTATAGTAGTTTCCTTTGATCTTCTCTAGGCTGCTACATAAAATGTTATGTAGGGAGACAGAGGAGCTTGGTCAGCACTGACAGTAATTAGACACTCCTAGAAGAAAAGAGGTTATGATGTGACAAGAGGAAGAGGAAACTCTGGATGAGCTAAGATATAGACACTTCCTGGAGCAGTCCAAATGTCTACCAAGTTCAAAGGCACAATGCAGGTGAATTTAACACTGTTGCCAAATAGAATACAAGTGTTTGGTGCCTATACCTGCATTTTTTCAAATTGATGGCAGGGCCTAATCTAATCCTATTTATCACACCAATAGTACAATATACTGCCAGCCTGGCTTTGATTTATTTTACATCACTTCTGTTTAAATGGTATAATTTATAATTCAACAAATATATGTTCTTTAATTTAGAATACACCCAACAACAGTTAAATAGGTCTTTGGACATTATATCTGCGATATCCTCCAGTAAGGAGGGAAGATGGAAAAGGCTTAGTAAGTGATTTCTCTAATATTATACAGAGTTGTTACATAACTTCCTCCAGTATGATTGCCTCCACATGCTTTGAGGATATGAAATGTCACTCACAGAATGATTGGGAGATCGGAATCTGGCAATTACTAGACAGGTTATGTTGCTCTCATATTAGAAAAGTAATAGAGTCACCAAGACAGGAAAAAAAGTGGTCTTCTTGAAAACAGAAAATGAAAAATAAATCCATTTCCTGGCAATGATAAAAGCTTTAGCAAATGGGCAAAAGGTGATTCTCTCTTTTTTTTTTGCCATTTCCTTAGTAACTATCTGGGATGTGCATCCTTTGAGGATCATGGATCTATGTGAGGGAGATTAAGTCAAATACATTTAATCTGATATCTTTTATGCATGATGCTGACTGTGTAGCCATCAGGATATGAAGTGAGGGAATTTTTTCTATTAAAGGCAAAGATGGCAATAAAACCCCTTCTTTTTAACAGAGTTGGAAAGGGTTACAATTGACGCCTGTTTTTTATTGCTGTGTTCTTTTGGGGAGATTTACCCTGTCTTCATATATGACCACTGTACAGAACTTATATGATTAGGAAAGTCAAGTGCCTATATATATTTGACATATTAAGGTCTTGGGCAACACTATACTAAATACGTAAACAAATGAATTAATCTAATACTTTAATGATCATATTTATACCTCTGAATGGGCCTTTTCTTCAGCCTGCAAAAAGAAAATAAATAGATATTACAAGCAATGTAATGAAGTACATTAAAAGAAAAACACCATATCATCAAAGGGTTCCTCAAAGTGTAAACTGTAAAGCCTGGATCAGCCTCTCAGTGATCCGTTGATAGCCTGAGCCAGCCCCTCAGCCTCCTCTACAGCCCAGTGCTCCAGTGAGTCCTGGAGGGGCAGAGCAGGCAGCTGGAAACTGACAGTAATGGCCCTGTGCTCAGAGTGCAGGGGAGAACTGAGCGATCAGTGGTGTTTGATCACTCAGTTCTTACTACAGAGCCAGCAGGAAATAGATGCAGCATCGATCCGCCTAGGTGAGTAGAAATGCTTCTTTTCATAAGCCATACTTCTCTTTTAACTAAATATACTGTATTTGGGAATCTGCCAAAAGGTTGTTTGCTTCATATATGACGTCAACTGTTTAAATATGGATTGAAATCAGGGCTAAAGTGAGCTATTTATGACCAGTTGAAGCACTTCACCTATAAACAGGGCATTATTGCTCCATGTTCATATTCAGCAGGGCTGTTTACCTGCATACAGTATACTCTTAGATATCACCCCTTTCACCCCCTGCACCACAAATCTCAAAAGCCTCACAATCTGATATTTGCCTGAAAGATTGTATTCGTAAAATTACAAATAAAACTTTCATGTTGTCAAAAATCTCACCCAGAACAGTCCTTAGTTTTAGGTAATTGGAACATTTTGAAAATATACAGGTTTTTTTTTAAATGTAAAATGCAGAATAACTAAAAGTGTTTCTAAAACAAAAAAATTTAAAATATTGCAATATACTAGTCCTTGGTGTGGTTCATTTTTTTCCAAGCTTCTTTTGCTTTATTTTCACCTGGTAATCTCGCGAATAACACGCTTCCTGTAGCTGTGTGGGTGTGTATCTATGGAGTGAGCTATGGGTGTCACCCCAGGCTGCTCTCCAGATATGGACTACAAACATGTTCATATCTCTTCATCTTCATTATATCAAAGACAGGGTATTTGGTAGTTTATGGAACATAGATATTCTTCACTGGATCTCATAGAAAGCGACAAGAACATGGCATTTCTGGCAACAGGTATTTCTGTATTTACTGAAAATGTTCTTAGCTTGAAAAAAAAGAAAACTAAGGTAACCACCGCACCTACAGAAAGTAAAGCTGGGTAAACACACTCAGTTTTTTTTTTTGTTCAACCCAATGGACTGAATGAGAAAAAAAAATCTGACAGATCGCCATACCAGCACAAGCGGCACTGGTGGAGCAGTTCAGCATGCCCATTGGACAGAAGCCTGCTGATTACTGGCGCGTGTGTACAAGGCTTAAGCTGCAATATGTTGCATTGTTGTTCTTGGGTTTTTAGTTATCCTTTAAGTGAGCTACAAGATTCCTTTCTTCCCATCAGTATGCTCTTTTCACTGCCACACACCTGACTTGCTGCATGTGCTACTTCCTCACCCCCCTGAACCCTGACTGCAAAAAAACAAGTAAAATTCATCTGGTTTTTTTTTGTATCCTAATGCATTCTATGCATTAAGGTAAAAAACGTTCCAGTATCAGCTCTACACCCCCCCCCAAATAGTTTCCTGGCTCCTTTTTCGATCCAGTGCTGAGCCCAAGAGCATCATCACTGCTCTCTTTCTCTTCCCTCACGGGCACAGTGACAGCAGATGGAGCCATTGGCTCCTGCTGTTATCAATCTGATCCTGTGAGAAGAGGGCAGGGGGCAGGGCCAAGCAGGTTTGGGAGCTAGTCCACACTTCTGCCCCATAGCAGATGTAGCCAGGTGCTGACTATATCATTACACCATCTAAGGACACTTACAAATGGGACTACACTTAATCCTTTTTACTCCTAGTGTCCAGTACTCCGACTGCTACATCACTTCCTGCCAGCCAAGTGGATATAGCTCTTGTACAGCAGAGGATCCTGGGATCTGTAGTCCTTTAGCCAGTACCAGGGGCGGACTGACAACTCATGGGGCCCCCGGGCAATAGGGGATCATGGGAACCCTGTGTCCTTGCCCTAAGTCAAAAAAGCCTATGAAAAAGGTACCAGGGGCATCTCATGGGGCCCCCTATTGACCCCGGGCCCTCGGGCAGTGCCTGAGTTTCCAAATGGTCGGTCCGACCCTGGCCAGTACATGCTGTGTTCCTGAGTGCTGATTGGACTAAGACTACCAGAGAATACAGAGGGATGCTGGGAAAGCTCATATATTCTACAGCAAGGAACTGCCTAGCTCTCTTGGCCCGGGATTCAGATCTGAGAATAGGGGAACTGCCATTCTCCTCCGGAGATAGATTGCTGACTACTGCTATAGGACTCTTCATACCAGTTCAGCACAGCAGTGATGCTAATCACCACACAGTGATCGCATCAGCTTGTCAGCATCAGGACTGTCCCTATCCAGTCTTCAGCCACTCATCTCTGTTTGCCACGCTGACAGGCTGTCAGGCGGTAACTCTTCACTTCTGTGCAAACAGCCAAGGAGCCTGTGCAAGAACCCTGTTCCTAGGAGGCTGTGCTATACATGTGATTGGTGAGAGGGCAAATGCCCAACTTATTTCTGACAACACTCTAGAGACATTGCATACAGATACCTTTACACCTCAGTACCAGGACTTCTTTGCTTTGAGCATTTACCACAGTCTATCTGTTATCTTCATTAAATTAGCATTACTCACTACTGTATATGGTCCCACCCATGCTAGCAGAAGACAATGGCTACTATCACATCAGGAACTTTAACCCCTTGACGCCGAACGCATGCAAATATGCAGCCTCTCGGCCTTGACACTGAGCGGCCGCATATTAGAAAATACATATGTGCTGAGAGTGCGCGCTCTGCGTGCTCCCAGCACATATGTCAGTGACTCACAGAAATGTCCCGATCTCCCAGTTTGATCGTGACCTTTTCCAATCATGTGACCGCCGTGACGGTGAATCATGGCAGTCACATGACCCTAAAACCCCGCCCACCTCCTGGCTTCTGAAACTCTTAAAGGAACAGGAGGCGCCGGAGAGAAGAGGTTAAACATCTCAAGGACTCAAGTTGCTATTTCTAGTTAAAGGGACCTCTTTGCATCTAAGCCATTGTTATTCAAATTAGGGCGTCCATACCTATTTATGCCAGAATATATATACACAATTTTACATAACTCTTTGCATTCCCTATTGTTACACCAGTGGCCCAGAGGGAAATAATAAGTCAACAAACCTTTTCTTCCCTGCTGCTGGTGTTGCAGTTACATAGTTACAACATACCATTTGTGACATATAATTTGTTAACCGTTGATATTTGGTTCTTTCCATTTTATTGAAGTTTTGCTTTTATGCGTTAACTGGGGATGTACCTCCTAAATCTTCATTCTGTGGCCTACTATTTTAAACAAGTCTAATACAGAAGAATCATGTCTCTTGCATTATTATTTCACACTGTTGAAATATGTCTGAACCCAGAGTGTGAGAGGTGTCAGGAGGCTGGCAAGGTCAGGGAAACCATTGGAGGAGATGAGCATTATCAAACGGCCAATGTGGGGGTAGCGTTACACAAGCATTTGCTATTGGGACAGACACGGAAGAGAAGGAGCAGTGGGGGAACCCAGAAGAGGAATTTAGGGCCACTGTGTTCAATACCATTGCACAGAGCAGGTGAGTATAACATGTTTGTTATTTTCATTTTAAAAAGTGCCTTTAATAACGCTTTAATGAATACAGAGCTGAATTACCGGGTGCCTTTTAAATCTGCCTTCAGTTCAGCTTTAAATATATACAATATAAACAGATTTGTGTATATAAAAATAAGGGCTAACCTAACAGTTCTGCAAAGGAGACCCTGAAGAAGCTCAGAAATAAATGCCTCTCTGTTTTTCAGGTTAATCTCTGATCCCTGCGTATTTAAACTGCACTATCTGAACAATATAATGTGTAGGGAGATACATTCAGCAGTAATCAGCGGCATTCATCAATGACCTTCTTCATATTCTCCTTGCAGGATTACATTAGGAGTATGGTTTGTATAGTAAGATATAAAGGTGGTCTGATAGTACAGATGAATCTAACCAGAAAGTCACAGAATGTAGCATTTTAACACTTCCAGATGGGTAATGGCATACAATTTTCAGTAATATATTTTAACAATACAGTGCTGCTGGCTGTTCTGAAAGACCAACTGCAGCTGAAACACTGCTGACATCTACTGACTACAATAAAATAGGCAGTCTTTCCTCCAACACAGTATTTAGTTTTATATCTGTGAGCGGACACAAAGATCAAGTTTGAAAACAACAGCACACTACTAGTAATGAAACTCAGAAGCCAAATAAAAAATTGTGTGGGCAAAGCATAAAACTTTTGTATTTGTCAGCAAAACTAGTAGCCACTCTCCAACAGATAAGCCCATCATCAGTAATTTGTTTTGAATTAAATTTAGCACTATAACCCTCATATTACAAATGATCTGAATATTTGGTTAAAACTGGTCTGATTATATGAAATATTTGAAATTTACTACAATGCATAAATAATAAGCTTGAATATTATAGGTAAACATGCTGGAAAGGGTTGATTTTTGCTCAAAATGGACTAATAAGAAAATAAACAAAATCCATCAGCCAGTATTCAAAAGTAGTTGTGGATATATTTATTTATTTTATTTTAGTTTTGTTTTATTTTCTTTGTTTTTGTTTTGCAGCTATTTTGCATCCATTTGGGCACATAATAAAAGAAAAAAGTCTATATATTTATATTTGTTGCTGTGAATGATCATTACATGACATGTATTTTGTGACAAACTTAATATAAGCTGTTCTGTACACGCCACCATGAAACACACCTGTTGTCTAAAGCTCTTCTTTGTATAGGCAACAAATTCTATTTATTTTACTTTGTGTCCAAGTGAAAGGCAGAGTCAAACCACCTGCTTTATATTAACAATAGACAATGGTGACTTACAGTGGAATAAAGAGATGATGTGCTGGAAACCAATGACAAAGAAGATCCATGAACTGAAAAACAAAAAATCATAAGTACATTTCAACATATTGGGAAAACCATAAATTAATATTATCATGCAAACAGCACATGTTGATATGTAGACAATGTACATCGGTGAAACTCATTCCTCGTCATGTTAAAGCATTATCGAAACCCAAAAACAAAAATTGAATACATGTTCATTAAACAATACTTCCAAGCTTAAATCAAACAATGTCCAGTTTACTCTCATATGAAATCGTTGTAATCTGCTGCAAACAGACTCCAGAGACCGCCTGATAGGGTCACTGGGAATGTATGTCCAGAAGCTCATGCAATGTATCTTCCTCTCCATCCAATTGCTATTACAAATCATATTAAAGCCTCCAAGGCAGATTTGAATTTGTGAGTAACTTCTTCATACTGGCACTTTGTTAATTGAAGGAGACACTTTCTTACGTGAAGGAGGACAACAAACACACTGCAGTGCATGTGTTTGATTTTTTTTCTCTCATTCAAAGTATTATATTATTATTATTATTATTGTAATTCAAAGTAAGTAAAGCATTTCACAGATTATGTTCAGAACAGAGTTAAAATAATATACTGAGCTCCCTGTATGAAGCCTAAAGTGTATGTAAACCCTAACCACGAACATTTCTTACTTGCAACCTTTTGTTCGGTTAAATATGACGTAAAAAACATTTTATTTCTATTTGATAGGAGCAAAACAACTGTTTATATTCCCATAAGCCTCCCTAGCTGATATTTTCCTGTGCTCTGTGCCTCTACTGACTGTTATCAGTTATTACTATTCCCAGCTATCTCTGTGAAATATAAAACACCTTCCCGCTACCATATGGAAAAGAAGGGGTGTTCTGTAGTCCTGTCCTAGGGTGACAATGCTGCTCCTTCAAAGGCAGAGCATGCTGACTATGCTCTGTCACCCTAGAACAAGAAGTGTCCTGCTGGTAGGATGACCAGGTGAAATAATTTTTTGGTCTTGAGTTTAAGTAAACTTTAATTTTTAACTCTGTGTAAAATGTAAATTTATGGTTCTTCTACATAAATCTGTTTTAAAGAACAGCAAAAAATTACAGAAATGTTAGCTAATTTCTTTGACTTAGACCAAAATATATGTTTCACAACAAATTAGAGAACACAAGCGGCGCTTGTGTTCACTAATTTGTTATGAAACATATATTTTGGTCTATTTTGAATTATGATATAGTGGCAGCAAAGGTTTTTCACTTATTTTATTTTCATACAGTAATTTGGTTGCATCTGGCGCGATTTAGTGACATTGGATAAATCTTTAAGAGGTCACTTATATATCTTATATAATTTCTTTGACTTGGCCAAAAATTTACTATTTGTTGGGTACTGCATGCAGCATATTTTCTGAAACATTATTTTAAAACAATCAAGAATTTCACTAACATTTCAAAAAATAAAGACCCTTTGGGGTTTATTTACTAAAGCTGGAGAGTCCAAAATCAGACTCCCTTCTGCATAGAAACCAATCAGCTTCTAACCTCAGCTTGTTCAATGAAGCTTTGGCAATGAAACCTGGAAGCTGATTGGTTTCTATGCAGAAGGGAGTCTGATTTTGGACTCTCCAGCTTTAGTAAAAAACCCCTTTTTGTCCATCAAATTGTCAGATAAGAACCATGTGTGCTGTATCACACCATGTAATCAGGCTCTAATAGCTGCCAAATACTGTGATAAGACTCTGTGTCTATGATGTAAAACATGACTCCATGATTCAATGATGGCAATTACATTACCTTCTTCCATGCTGTCTCGGAAGGACCCTGAGTGACTGATAGCTCTTGGTCTCTCCTCCAATGAGGTAGCACTTCCTCCTAGCTGCGAATCTTCATATAATTCAAAGGAAGCATCTTGGGCTGGAATGCTATTGGATCGCATCATGTTTGGTCCAGGGATTGTAAACTGGGATAAACTAGTAGGGCTCACTGCAACAGAGATTTCACAGTTCAAACTTTAGAATTACAAGATTCTTAGTACTATTATTATAACTAAAATTCATTTATTTTGGTGTAGCATGCTTTTAAGATGTAAAAACCTGTGCTAAAATGATACGCCATATGAATGCTTAAAAGGAAACATCCATGCAGCACTATTATTTTGACCTTGCTGTCAATTTGAGCGTATTTTGGGAAAAGCTAAACTTATGTTGCTCTTAACAATTAGTCAAGTTTCATCCTTCAGTCTAATGAAACATTAAATCTAAGTGTGACAGGGCAACAGCTCCACTTTAAAAAAAAAATGTGCAAAATGTTTTTAATTGTCAGTGCTTTAGGCTTGCATATGGGTCCTCCCACATTTCTTACCCAAATTTGAGTAATGGTATTTCCCACTGATGGATGAGGACATGCCTGATGGAGAGAAGGAACAATGCCTGTGATGGTGCCAGAGACAAGGGGAGACTGGTTGCCAGTATCTTGTAGTCCTCCTGTTGAATGAGAACGCAGCCACTCTTTGCCCTCTTCTTGACTGGTCTGTCGAGACGATGGCGTATACCTGACAAGATGCAGCAATATTACTTTGATTGTAAACCCAACTTATGTGTAATCAAAGCTAAATTCAAATCCAATCAAGAGCGAAGTGTTGTTTACAGTTAAATAGTTACAGGTGGGGACAGTTTTTAAAGCTTATACTAAACTTAAAGTAGTACTCAAGTGTAAATGTAAAAATACTCACTACTGGTCCTATCCCCTGTACAGCACTTATCAGGCTCTACGGGGTAGATTTACTAAGACTGGTAATATGTACAAATCTTTGGCGTAAACTCTGGTCCACATGGAACAAATAAGAACAATTAGTTAATTATATATAAGTCCATAATTATAGAATAGTCCACATAAAATTATACACCAGATTGACAGCTCCCCCGAGAGACTGGAATTGATCTCTCTTTTTTTTCTTGTTGTTACTAAAACAGATGCACTCAGAATCTGGTGCAGCTGTGCATGGTAGCCAATCAGCTTCTAACTTCAGCTTGTTCAGTTAAGCTTTGGCAATAAAACCTGGAAGCTGATTGGTTTCTATGCAGAGCTGCACCAGATTTTGCACTCTCCCCCTTTGTGACTGCCAGCAGCTTCAACATGGCTCCCCTCACTTCATGGAGTGACGACAGGAGGACAGCAGAGGTATAAGGGGTTGGGGCTTGGCTTACCAGTGCTGTGTATGTCTATGGATACACACAGCTTGGTGTGGGACCTGACAGTAGCTTACATGCACCGATGCCTCCTTAGCTCCAATCTTGCTACAGGAGACAACCAAAGGAGAGGAGGAACTTACAGACCCATTGGGGAGTGAGGTGAAAAGTAATGTTTCTGTGCAATATCATTGCACAGAACAGGTGTTAGCTCTTTTTTATTTTTTGACTTTAATGTTATTTTAACTACACACTTTTATATAATGTGTAAAGGGATATATTGCTGAAAATATCTAAAATATTTTGTTTAATGCTCAGTTCATCCATAAGTTTATCAACAAAGAGATAGTAGATTTTACTTCTTAAGCATGATATTATCATGAATATATTAGGAAAAGTTGCATAACCTTTGAACTAATAAAACTGAAATAGAATGTAATCTATTTCACATATACTTTCACGGTGGGTTATTTTGGTGAATGTTGACATTATTTCAACATAAAAATTCACCTGAATAAGGTAACAGTACCGCAAAAATGCGTATTTACTTAGTGAAGCAAACCCAGAATGTTATTTATAATAATCTGGAAAAACTGAAGGTTAAAAAACTAAAAGTAGCGCACATTTTACGATTCAGATTATTAATAACTTTAGAACAATACAACAAAGCAGCATAGTTGTTCTGTGCAGACAAACTCAGTACTGAAATTAATGACTTTAGCATTAAGTATTAAGTCCTTCAAAGCATAAAGCTGTCATATTTGCATTATGCTTTAGCATAAGCATGCAGAACAGAAACAATTATACAGAGAGGAAAAATAAAGAGTACCAAGACTGGAACAGATTATCCCACAACAGCAAAATATAATTATACAATAATACTACCTATTTATCTGGGTCAATATCAAAATTGTTTAACAAAATAGAATTTGGGTTCTGCTGCAGAAGATTTCTAAACTAGAACCGAAAGAATGTTGTTTAATTGCATCCTAAAGCATCTGTTGAACATGTACTTGTCTGTTAGTTTTCCACAATTAAAATGGATGCAAAGTGCCTTAAAGGAAAACAGATCATCACAAAATGTGCCTAGGTATATTTACTCTGAGCTTGTAAGTACTTTGATTTTTCTTTCTTTATTATGAGCAGCAGAAAGCCTGGACTAATTAGTAATTTCCTAGCAGGTGTTATAGACATTTGCAAGAAAAAGAAAATAAAGCTCATCAGTGCATTTATCACAGGCAATTAAATGGCAAACAAGTAAAATATATATACTGTCAATTGTAGTTTGACATGAATGCTCACTTTTGAACCTGTGATAGTAAATGACAATGGCATCTAATTGGCTACTGAAGAACTTTCTATTCAGATTCTTATTGTACATGAAGGTTGTTGAGGCAGGATTCATTAAAGCATTTATGACACCTTCCCATAGCATGGCCTTTGACTTGGCTTGATTGATCTCCAGAACAGAGACAGTAGCGAATCAATCAAGGATCTGTAGTAAGTTGGGGGTAGACATATGGGGAGAAGTAATGTTGTCCCACTAAATCAACACCTTGAATGTCTGGGGAGGAATGGGTTAGTTGGGCCAGGGGTTGGACTGAAAGGGTGAATAATAGGTGAGAGAAGGGAAATTCCTGTCTTGTGTCTCGGGATATAGGTAAGAAGTCAAACCTGTATCCAGAGTATTTAGGATAAGCTTAGGGCAAGTAAAGAAGTATGAAATCTAATGGAGGACATGAGTTCTGAACCCCCAATGTCTCAGGTAAGGACAAAGCCTTTTTTATTAGAGAGAAGAAAAGGACTGGAACATCTGCCAGGTTTTATTGCTGTCTCTAACCCAGCTGACCCACATGGGCAGATTTACACTCTCATTTTGTCCTTGTGACCATTGTCATAGAGGCAAAAAATGATGGGAAATACAACATCATACAGTAGTTCTTCAACATTAGAAAGATTTCCGCATTTATGAAAACTCTGCAACAGTTTTTTTGCCACTATATCCAAAGTGTGCAACAAATTCAGTTAGTTTTTTATGTGCAACAATTTTAAATTCTGGCACTTTGATTGCAACAATTTAATTAATACATACTTTCATATCAATAAAAAGAAAATTTGGAGGTAAATAAGACATCCTCCATGTTTGAGTAGATTGTGTCGAACATATAAACATTGTGTCGCAAGATAAAAATCCGTCTGGGACAAAAGTCTGTCTGTGCAATTCTGAGGCAGATTTAGGTAAACCTTACTGTGTTACATGAATCCGTTGCAAGCTGTGCCGTTTGCAATAGATTCGTGTAACTAAATAAGGTTTTATTACGGGAGAGATGTGTCTAATGGCCCAAAGTATCCATAACACACAGCTAGCATGGTGTCACTGAGAAGCTTCTGCTTCTGTTGGAGGTTTATCATTTTTTTGAACATTGTTTTCTCTGGCAAACAAACTTAAAAAGTAAAAGCACAACTTTCTGTACATTCAGTTAGCATTATTATACAGAAAATATACGCACAGACAATTGTACATACTGTAGCACATACTTTGTGTAAGTAAAGCATCAATACAGGCACTTACTCATCAGATATATTGTGGAAAGATAGATTTTTTTTTTCTCCACTACTATAAAAGCCATAAAAAGAGGTCAACCATATCATGAAAATGGAGGAACTAAACACCAGCTTACAAGAATGACACCTGAAGTTTACACGGTTTGCAGAGGCTGAGCTTTCCAGCTCATTTTAACTTCAGTTCTTCTTCTGAAAATGACCCAGAGTTACCTTTATATATTGAGGAATCTTTTACCAGATTTCCAGCCAGACACCCATGTCACTCACCCCACTTTCTGTCCCTCTCCACCACCCCTTTGCCCCCCCCCCCTCGTTTTCTTTCTTCTCTTTTGATTTCCTTTACTACTCTGCTTTTTTTTCTTTTTTTTTATGACTCATATTTGTTGAAGGTACAAGAGACTCAATATAAGAGACTCTACATGAGTGTATTGAAACATGCTTAGGAACTCATTGTATGAATAGAATGGCATAATCATCTTCAAATTATCTATGGACATGGGGCGATTTACTAAAACCGGGGCACTCAGAATCTGGTGCAGCTGTGCATGATAGCCAGTCAAATTCTAACTTCAGCTTCTTCAATTAAGCTTTGGCAATAAAACCTGGAAACTGATTGGTTTTATGCAGAGCTGCACCAGATTTTGCACTCTCCAGTTTTAGTAAATAACCCCCATAGTGTTCTCTGGACTGTATATTATAAGCAGGATTGTGATGAAAATATCATGCATTACTGAGATACTCCACTGTCTTGATGTACCATGTCTGTACTGGCGCATCAACTGGTACATCATCCTGAATAATAAATGTGTGGGTAGCAAGGACTGGCACTTTTCTTGCATTGTAGACTCTAAAATCTCCAGGATATATATATATATATATATATATATATATAAATAATGCTTTTGTTTATGTGAAATAGCAAACAACATAAAGAACAGACTGTCAAAGCTGTGCACAAAACAAAAGATTGATGAAATGTACCAAATACAAAAGCAAGCAGTGAAAAATCAAGATTTGTTAGTATCGGGAAAAAAAAGTATTTTTAATGCAGACAACCATTACCAATGCTTGATTTGCATTCAGGAAAATTATTATACTTATTTACCTTGAAAAGACCATACTTACAAGTATGAAAGAAAAAAAAAATAGAAAATGATTTCATTTGCGCTATGTATAGCGGTTATGTACGCACGGATTTATATCAGATCAAGGTGTGTTGCTTTGAAAAGCAGTCACATGACCATTGCTTGCCACTTGAACAAAAAGTTGAACCTGGATCAGTATTCTCTGTGGTAGACACAGTCAGTTGGAATTACATAATGAGTCTACATAAAAAATTAAAGATGATGTATAATGCACAAAAAGCAAAAGAAACCGAACAGAAATTGCTCTTTATTTAACTGCGTAAACAGAAGTCCCACTGATTACTATATAGTTCTGGATCTAGTTCTACTTTGCACATTAATTATCCATCACTAGATAAGTCCAAGTGCATTCTGAGTAGACATTTATTGCAAAAATAGAATGAAGAATAATGTAGACATTTATGAGATTGGGTTCATTCCTAGAACAAATACTAGGCTTACACATAATAGGCTATAATAGTAATAAAATACATATGGAAATGCTGCCAAAATGATGGTGTCCCAGATGCCTTTTATTTCTAGTCCATGAAACATTACTGTTTTTTTATCACCCACTTTTAGTACTAATAAATGAACCTGAATTTGTTTATCATAGAGATTAATGATCCATAGATGTACTGTAACAAGAGAACATTGAAACACACCAAAGATACATGTACAAATGCCAATGAGCACACACCCTTTGAGGCCAGCTTGTTGCATACAATATAATGGAGAAAGACAGTTAATCAGCACTGAACAGAGAAAGTAGTTGAATAGACTAACAGAAAGCAAGAGACGCCCAAAGTGTACTAAGGCAGCGGTCATGCGCAAGGAATAGTTATACCTTAGTCCCTTTTTGGGCAGGGTGTTTCGATCAAGTTGCATACTGTTTAGATAAAGAAAACCCCTACAAACAAGACAAAAACCATTAGCATTAAAATTGCAAAATACATAAAAGTTATATTTTCTTCAGTTTTGATTCATGCTATAATGCTAAAAGAAAAAGGAGTCCTGATGTATGTTTGCAGACATTTGGCAGACTGCCATTTAATACTACTATGCCAGCAAAGAAGCTCTGTTCTTACTTTCCAATCGCTTGCCCCAGTGGTACATCACTGATGTCATTTTTTAACACTTGACCCTTATATTTGTAGGGAAGCAGTGGTAATGGATACCTCATTTTTTATTATCTTCAACTTTTATAGGTTATCTAATATTTGACACACAAACCTATAGAATTATTAATGCTATTATGTGTTCCTTTTGTGACATGTAAGACTAGCAAAATTTAAGCCTAGGCACTCATATTCTTACCTCTCAGACAGGGTTGATCTAACACTCCCAGTTCTCATTAGCATACTTTGAAGTTCCTGTGTACTTGCAGTCAATCCAGATAGTGAGCCATGATGACTAAGAGGTAAATCAATGGACTCTGAGCTGGTATGAAGGCTTGTCATAGACTGGTAGCTTGGAGTATCCTTACTTCCAGCAGAGGAGCTACTTAAATTTGCTGTCCACACTTGGCCACCTGATGTAAATGAGTGCACTGATGCTGGACTGGAGGCCAAAGAATGTCCCAGGCTTATGACATCAGGAGTTAATTCATTGGGTTTGCTGAACAAGGGGCTGCTGCTTCCGCTTTGTCCACCAGCACTGCCCATGCTACCCGTACCAGAGGAAGGGGAATCCAAGCTGCCCTGTCTAGCCAGGGATGTGTTGCTGGGACTAGAAATCACAGAAGAAGACTTCACACCTTCACTGCTTGCAGCAGAGGAAGGTTTACTCCCTGTTTTTGTGCCAAACAACCTTCAAATGAAAACAAAAAGTACATTACTGTAATATATTAATTATTTATATACAATATAAATATATGTTTTGATCAATAAGCTTTTTTTTTTTACCGTACCTCCCCTGTAGGTAAATAACCATGCAATACAACAGACTGGACTTTTAGAAGCTTGCTGGAGTATAACTATCAGGAGGCCAAAACTATGACAAGGTGTATCATGCCATCAGAAGGTTCCAAACAACTAGTCATTACTTCCTTCACATTATGTTAGCTGTAAGAGCATATTGGTGGCTCACTACAGGTATAACAAAAAGAATAGTCTATTGTATCAAATGGATACTTGGTCCCCTTTTAACCAAGAGTCAATGTGAGATAAGTAGTAGTCCTTTTTCAGTATTTATACCAGAGCCTTATAGCTTTCGGTTTTGTCTCTGGATAGTATTATGCTATGTTAAAGGATAAGTTCACCTTTACACAAAAAATAATAAATGCACATTTTTATGCATGTACAAAAATGTGCATTTATTTATTTTTTTGTGTTAGGAGCCTCTAAAGCATTGCACCAGTGATCAGCAGATCACTGCTGCCATGCAGGTCCCCTGCAGTCTGTCAATGTATCTGCTTGCTCGTACATCCCGTAAGAACAAGCCAATATTTCTGACAGGAAGAATCAATGAACTACCACATTGCTCCACAGCGCCATGGTAGTTCATTGAGGACTACAAGCTGACAGCCGCTAAGGCTGTCAGGACCTGTAGTTCAATCACTTAAAGAGGACAATGCATGAATGACGCATACATGTGGATGGAGCCTCGCACAGCCGTGCTGTTTTTGAAAAGTGACGGGTAGAATTTCTCCCCAAATTTCTATCATAGGGAGAGGTGGCAGCAGGTGGCAACTGCAGGATCTGGAACATGTGACATGTTCCACCCTAAAAAAAACAGGTGTTCCCATAATGGCTTGTGTTAGTATTTTTTTGCATTGAAAAGCTAAGTTTACAGTATGCAAGTTATATTAATGGTGTTTACATGTACAGTAAAACCCATTGCACCAAAAATACTGCATAAGCTTTTACCCATTAAAATAGCTCTAGCATCTGCCTTAAAGTGATACTAAAGACACACTGTTTAATTTACATCATCCCTTCTCTTTCTTTTTATGGCTGAAGGTACTGTAATTATTTTAAGAAAAAAAAACATCTAAGTATCTTTTTCCTAACTGATATACAGCTATAACAAGGCCCAGCTCTTTCCCAGCCTTTATGTGGCAAGCTGAGTTTCTAGTCCTCTGGAGCTGGTCACACGTTCAAAATAAAAAAAACTGCCTTTGGAATACAGAGTAAAAATAGATAATTAACATTCAAAATGTGTGTGACCGAACCCTAAATCAAAAATCTACATTGTGGCACCATCCCAAAAAGCTATACAAAAAGAAGGAGAAACGGGTCACCACAACTATTGCTAGATATGGATATCCTGCTAAAGAAAGAACTTTACATGTGCCTAACAATGAGAGTAATGGAAAACACAAATCTTTATAAAATCATGTATTTATTAACTCATCTAGTTAAAAAAGAGCCATCTCTCATTAATATAACATCAAAATCTAGTTGTATCATACAATTCTCAGATAATATAGCAATGTTTAGCAAGCGTGTGAACTCAAGCGTTTCGCAACATTTGCTTCCTCAGGATCCACGCTTGAAATAGAGAACTAATCCATATACAGTACTCAGCAAAAATGAGTACACCCCTTTTGAAAAGTAAGATTTTAATCAATATCTCAATGAACACAAGAACAATTTTCAAAATTTTTACAAAACTGAGGTTTATAGAACATTTGTATAGCTAATTACCTGAAAGTAAGATTAATGATATAACTTACAATACAGTATCTTCAGTTTTACTCATATTAGTTGATGCAAAAATGAATACACCCCATAACAAAAACTACTCCATCTAGTATTTTGTATGACCTCCATGATTTGTAAGGACAGCACCAAGTCTTCTAGGCATGGAATGAACAAGCTGGCAACATACTGCAACATCTTTTTCCATTCTTCAAGAACGACCTCTTTTAGAGCCTGGATGCTGGATGGAGAGTGATGCTCAACTTGTCTCTTCAGAATTCCCAATAGGTGTTCGACTGGGTTCAGATTAGGAGACATAATTGAATCACTTTCACCCTGTTCTTCTTCAGAAATGCAACAGTGGCCTTAGATGTGTGTTTTGGATCATTGTCATGTTGGAAAAGTGCACAACAACCAAGGGCATGGAGTGATGGTAGTATCTTCTCTTTCAATATAGAGCAGTACATCTGTTAATTCATGATACCATCAATGAAATGCAGCTCCCCGACACCAGCAACACTCATGCAGCCCCACAGAAGGACATTGCCACCACCATGTTTCACTGTAGGCACCATGCATTTGTCTTTGTACTCCTCACCTTGGCAACGCCATACAGCTTTGAAGCCATCAGTTCCAAAAACATTTATCCTGGTCTCATCACTCCAGAGTACAGAGTCCCAGTAGTCTTCTTCTTTTTCAACATGGGCCCTGGCAAATTCTAGGTGGGCTTTTTTGTGCAGTGGCTTTAGGAGAAGCTTCCTTAGTGGACGACACCCATGCATTCCATTCCATTGCAGTGTACGCCATATTGTGTCATGGGAAACAATCACCCCAGTTTGGCTTTTTACTTTAGTTAACTGCAGTGAAATTGCATGGCGATTTTCTTCAACCTTTCTCATCAGAAGATGCTCCTGTTGAGGTGTTAACTTCCGTGGACGGCCTGGACGTCTCTGTGAGATGGTTGCAGTTCCATCTTTGTTAAATTTTTTATCATTTTTGCTACAGTATTCTGACTGATAAGTAAAGCTTTTCTGTTCTTCTTGTAGCCTTCACCTTTCTTGTGTAAATAAATAATTTTCTTTCTCAGGCATTGTGACATTTCTCTTCCATGTGGTGCCATTGCTCACAGCATGAAATAAGAAGGGTTTTTTTCTTGTTAAGTAACACCTTTTTATAATCAACTGTCTGCTGGACACCTGTTTAATGAATAATCAGACTCACCTATAGTTGAATTCTTGTCAATTAGGATTTTGTGGTCTAAAATTTAGCTTTGCTAACAAGACTTTCATGGTCTTGAATGAATTTGTTATGAAAAATACTTTTTGTGTGTGTGCAGTTTAATAAATCTTGTTTGCAATCAATGACCCACATTCGTGGGATTATTTTGTACTATAGTGTCCCATAGAAAATGTTGATTTTTAAAGGAAAGGAAGGGTTTTCTGACTGATCTGTTGGGGTGTACTTATTTATGCTGAGCACTGTAGATCCACAAAGTGTGGTGATGGGCTGTGACTCATATGTAGCCTACATCTAGGTGAAGTGTCCCCCACCAAAGGAAACCAGGGGATAAAAGACAAGCAAGTAAGAGAATGTTATTTAACAAAGGGAGGGGTCAAAATTCAGATGTAATTGAGCACAAATTCCTCAGATAAATCCCATGGACCTTCAGTCACTAATTCAGTTATTCAGCTCGATATGCCTAAATGCACATCACTCCACCTCTTGGGATGTTAATCAAAAATGCTATGTCAAAACCAGACAACCACTTGTAAATGTTTTTGTAAAAATAGATAATTAATATCAATAAACTGTTTCAAATTAACATAAAAATATATATTTGAAATCGAATCTTTATAAATTTTTTGACAATAGCATGGCGTTGGTGGATTTCTGCTAGTCACAGGCTGTGTCACACCCTTCCAGTCTGTGAATAACAGGGAGGCGAAGCCTCCATCAATCAGAATGTAATATCCCCCTCCCCCCCCCCCTATTGTGTTTAGCTGCTTAGTGGGCATGGAGAAGGGAGGGAGTGGGCTGTCATTTACCACTGTGTATAAACCCACATGTATGACTCTATAGTCACATGAGTTGTTCAGATGTGATAGGGAGGAAATGCTCAGTATAGAAAACCATTGAAAATTGAGCATGTGCCAACACTGCTCTGCAAAATCCCCAGCTGCATTGGTAACAAGAAACAGAAGGGGAAGATAGAGAACAGCAGGATCAACCAGGTTTTTTGCAGAATACATGGTGAATGAGTGAATATGAACAGCATGTAATACAGCATTTGTTGATAGTTTTTTATAATGTGGATTTAGTGACACTTTAGTTTTGTAAGGCATCTATTGGGTAGAACAGATAAAATATTGTTTCATCAGATAAAATACAGATGCATGTGATATAAAGGCTTTCAATAGGTAAAGCGGAACTTCACCCAAAAAGGGGATGTTCCACTCGTTTGCATCCCCCCCCCCTCCACTGCCACATTTGAGATTTTTTTTTTGGGGGGGGGGGGGGGTAACTGGTTTTGACAGGTACCAGCTTTCACTTCTGGGTAAGATCGCCGTGGCGATCTTTCAGCCCTTCTTACTTCCCCCTGCAGCCTTCTGGGATGTGCCAACATATGTGATTGTCTGGATTTTTTTTCTCATTTTGTCTCTCATAGTTGAGGTCTACCTATGATGCCAATTACAGGCCTCTCTCATCTTTTTAAGTAGGAGAACTTGCACAATTGGTGGCTGACTAAATACTTTTTTCCCCACTGTAAGTGTCCTTATATTAAAAGTCAGCAGCTACAGTATTTTTAGCTGCTGACTTTTATGTTTTTTTTTTGCTGGCGGGGAGCTCCACTTTAAACACTATTTAGTAATAAAAAGAACAATCTCGCACATATGCTATGTTTAAGTCTGTGTCAGAGAAATTATCACAAAAAAAGGAACACAGCTATAATAGCCCATACATCTTAATAAACTGATCCCAATGTCGCTTGCAGTTATAGATTTTTTTTCATAAATTCAGACTGGAAAGTTCTACATTGGTCCACAAGAGGGAGTCAGACATTTTAAAATCATTTTCATGCAGTTAATTTTGATGACAAGAAAAGAAGTAAATTTTGACATGGTGAGTATACACATTATCTCTATTAACCCAGATGGGCAACGGTAAAAT